CCCACTCTGATTTATATATTAAACCTAGAGCTTAGTCATAGATTTTAGCATTAATGTTCCCATTTTTGACATTGAATCTGGTGGCTGCTATTTTTTTTTTTTTTTAGGATCGTGCTCTGTCACCCAGGCTGAAGTGCAGTGGCACAATCAATCATAGCCCACTGCAGCCTCGAACTCCTGGGCTCAAGTGATCCTCCTGCCTCAGCTTCTGGAGTGGCTGAGACTACAGGCAGGTACCACCGCCCTCGGCTAGTTTTTAAATTTTTTATTTGTAGAGATGGGTTCTTGGTATGTTGCCCAAGTTGTTCTTGAACTCCTGGGCTCAAGTGATCCTCCTACCTCAGCCTCCCAAAGTGCTGGGATTACAGGTGTGAGCCACTGCACCCAGCCCTGTTAAGTCTTTAATTATCAATGACCCTCAGTTTTTGTTGTTGTTGTTGTTGTTTGTTTTTGAGACGGAGTCTCGCTCTGTCGCCAGGTTGCAGTGCAGTGGCATGATCTCGGCTCACTGCAACCTCTGCTTTCCGGGTTCAAGTGATTCTCCTGCCTCAGCCTCTGGAGTAGCTGGGACTACAGGCAGGTGCTATCACACCCAGCTAATTTTTGTATTTTTAGTAGACACGGGGTTTCACCACGTTGGCCAGGCTGGTCTCGAACCCCTGACATCAGGCGAACTGCTAGCCTCGGCCTCCCAAAGTGCTGGGATTACAGATGTGAGCCACTGCGCTCGGTGGACCCTCAGTTTCAACCTCAAACCCAGGACTCTGTTAAGTATTCCATCATTAATGTGTCTATATTCTAGATTTTAACCTGGGCCTCTGTTAACATTTTTTTTAAAACCATCAATGCTTCAATGCTCCTGGGGCTTTGATCCAGGGTTCAGGGTCTCTGTTGAGATTCCATCAATTTCCTTGTTTTAACTTTGAATCCAGGCCTTTGAAGCAATTCTGACATAACAGCCTGGACCCCTCACCTATGCCCATCTTATATGAATTCAAATCTGACTCAAACCATTGATAGTTTTCTCTTGTTAATACCCTATGCTTCAGTTAAACCTTCCACCCCCATTGGCCCTCTGGTCTGACTTAAACATTGGGTGTTGTGGTAGACAGATTAATAGTCCCCCAAAGATGTCCCTCTCCCAACCCCTAGAACCTATGACTATGTTACCTTACATAGGAATACATACAAAGGAACTTTGCAGATGTTATTAAGGATTTTAAGATGAGATTTTCCTGGATTACCTAGATGGGCCCAATGTAATCAAGGGTCTTTATAAGAGGGAGGGAGTGTTTGGGAGGCTGAGTTGGGAGGATTTCTTGAGGCCAGGAGTTGGAGTCCAGCCTGGGCAACCTGGCAAGACCCTATCCCTACAAAAAGTTAAAAAATTAGCCGGGCATGGTGGTGTGTGCCTGTAGTCCTAGCTACTCTAGAGGTGGAGGTGAGAGGATCGCTTGAGCCCCTAAATTAAAGGGTACGGTGAGCTCTGATCACACCACAGCACTCCAGCCTGGGTGACAGAGCAAGACCCTGTCTCTATAAAAAAAAACCAAAAAGCAGGGAAGGAGAAGGGTTTGAGTCAGAGAAGGAGACATGATGATGGAAGCAGAAGGTTACTGTCAGAGAGAAACGTGAAGATGCTATACTGCCAGCTTTGAAGATGGAGGAAGGGACCATGAGTCAAGAAACACAGGTGGCTTCTAGCAGAAGCTGAAAAAGCAAAGAAATGGAGTTTCTCCTTGAGCCTCTGCAGGGAAAGCCCAGTGAAACCCATGTCATATTTCTGAACCTGCAGGACTGTAAGATAATAAATTTGTGTTGTTTTGAGCTAGTAAGTCTGTGATAATTTGTTAGAGCAGCAATAGGAAATGAATAGAGGCATCATTGAAATACTCCACCATTGATAACCATCTGGTCTATACTCAAATCACGTCCTTCTGAACTCTTCCCCTATCCATATCCATCTGACCTGACCTCAAACCCCAGCGTTGTTAGCGATTCCACCATCAAAGTCTCTTATCTGTGCTCTCCAATCTGGGGGTCTAAAATCAACCCCTGATTTTACCTTGAACTTGGGAATCTGTTATCCGTTCCACTATTAATGGGTTTTGATCTAGAGACAGAATTCAGGGTTTTGAGGGTGGAAAATTAATAATTCCAGGTCTGTGTATTAAACTTGAGGGTCTGTTCACTTTTCCATTACCAGGGCAATTTACATGTGAATCTTTCTGCTTATCAGTTAACTCTTTCCCCATTACTGGCCCTCAGGTCTTTTTTGTTTTTTGTTTGAGACAGAGTCTTGCTCTGTTGCCCAGGCTGGAGTAAAGTGATGTGATCTTTGCTCATTGCAACATCCCCCTCCCAGGTTCAAGTGATTCTCATGCCTCAGCCACCTAAGTAGCTGGGATTACAGCCATGCGCCACAGCATCTGGCTAATTTTTGTATTTTTAGTAGAGACAGGGTTTCACCATGTTGGCCATGCTGGTCTCGAAGTCCTGGTTTCAAGTGATCTGCCCACCTTGACCTCCCAAAGTGCTGGGATTACAGGAGTGAGCCACGGTGCCCAGCATCCCTCAGATCTTTACACAGACTGCAGGCCTCAGTTAAGTCTTCTCATCTATGATTCTTTGGTGTGTACAGAAAATCAAAGCTGTGCTAACTCTTTAGTTACTTGTGCCCCATCTCCTGTATTCCCCAACTCCAGTCCTCAGTTAATGGTTACTTTTATAGAGATGGAGTCTCACTATGTTGCCCAGGCTGGTCTTGATCTCCTGGGCTCGTGTGATCCTCCTGCCTCAGCCTCCCAAAGTGCTGGGATTACAGCTGTGAGCCACTGTGCCCGGCCCTCAGTTAACCTTTTTTTAAATTTTTACTTTTTGAGATGGAGTTTTGCTCTGTTGCCCAGGCTGGAGTGCAGTGGCATGATCTTGGCTCACTGCAACCTCTGCCTCCCAGTTTCAAGCAATTCTCATGCCTCAGCCTCCCAAGCAGCTGGGACTACACACGTGCACCACCACACCTAACTAATTTTTGTATTTATATTTATTTATTTATTTAGAGATGGAGTCTCACTCTGTCACCCAGGCTGGAGTGCAATGGTGCAATCTCGGCTCACTGCAACCTCTGCCTCTTGGGTTCAAGTAATTCTCCTGCATCAGCCTCCCGAGTAGCTGGGATTACAGGCATGCACCACCACTCCCAGCTAATTTTTTTTGTATTTTTAGTAGAGACGGGGTTTCACTGTGTTAGCCTGGATGGTCTCGAACTCCTTGTCTCAAGTGATCCTTGAGACTGCCTCGGCCTTCCAAAGTGCTGGGATTATAGGCATGAGCCACCATGCCCAGCCATAATTTTTTGTATTTTTAGTAGAGATAGGGTTTTGCCGTGTTGGCCAGGCTGGTCTCTAACTCCTGGCTTCAAGTAATCCTCCTACCTTGGCCTCCCAATGTGCTGGGATTATAGGCGTGAGCCACCATGCCCGGCCCTCAGTTAACATATTTATCATGAACGCCATTTGGTTTGACTTTGAAGTCAGGCCTTGATTAATTCTTCCACCATCGGCCCCTTTGGTATAGGCTGTGAATTCTGGGCCTCTGTTAACTACACCACCTTTAATGGCTCTGTGATCCGTAGCTCAGACTGGGGTCTAAGTTAACCTTCCATTCAAGGCCTCTCTGAAATAACTTTGGAATTGGGTTACTATTCCACCACCAGTGCCCCTCTGGTTTGATCTTCAAGCAGGGTATGTGTTAATGTTTTCTCCATCCATACACACTGGTAGAGGTCTTGAATCCTAGGACTTTCTTAACTATTGCAACCATCAGAGCTCCTGTTTTGTATAGAATATGAACCTTTGTTAACTCTGCAATCCTGTTCCCGGCTGACTTCCAATCCAGCCCTTTGTTAAGTCTTCTAAAATCAATTTCCTTAGGTTTTACCTCGAACCTTTGACTCTATTAACTCTTAGTTTTGATGTGGGCTGCAAAAGGCCATATAAGCTTGCTTGAACTAAGGCGAGCGGAAGTCCAGGCTGTGAATGACAGGTGAAGGCGGGCCCTTCCATGTTCAAAGGAGCCAATGGAGGACCGGGTGGGCAGTGAGTGACAGATGGGGTGGGTCCTATCGCCTAGAAGAAACAATAGGAGGGTGGGAGGGCGCCAAGGCCAGGTGGGGAGAGGTGGGTGGGTGTGTGTGAGCACCCTGAGTGGCTGCGTGCTGTCAAAGGTCTCTTCCCTTTCTTCAGACGTTTTAGTAATCCGCTACTGCAGAGGAACCCCCCGGGGGGTGCTCTGGTCCGGCCTTTCCACTTTCCCCCCTTCTCACTCGGTCGTGTCACCAACCACGCCTTTGCTCAGGCCGAGTCTCTTCTGGTGGCCGGGAACGCCCACTCACCCGTCCGGGACAGTCGCGGCCCTTCCAAGCCTCACACTGCTTTCATAGGACCAATTCTGAATACCCGAACTCGGAAATATCACGGGGACTCCCCCCGGACCCCCAAACACACCTCTCCTTTAGCTGGAATGGGAGCCTCCAGAGGCAGTGCGAGGCCACGGCCAGAGACAGAGGTCCTGGCGCTGGCGGAATGACGCCATTTTTGTTATTGGTAGAGCTCGGCTTCGTGGCTATATCGGAGTCTGCGAAAGATAAGCTCCCGCGTCACTCTGACATCTTCCCGGGAGGACTGGGAGGCAAATGGCCTTTCAGGGGATGTTGAATGCATTTGGGCAGGCGAGGGGGGGGGGCGGGGGGGGGCGCTAAGCCCGGCTTGAGAGCAGAGCCGAGGTGAAGGGCCTGGCTGAGTGCAGCGGGTCTAAGTGATGAGTGATGGATTGGGACAAGTGGAGGGGCTAAGGAGGGGATTGAGTGACGTGGAGAACAGTGATAGGGGAGTCTGTGTTAACCCTGTTACCAGGGGTAACAATATGTGGGTTAGGTGATTGGAAGTTTGTAGGGTGATGGGGATCTGTGCGGTGTTTGATGTCTGTAGGGTGAGTGATGGGGTTTCTATAGGATGGGTGAAGGGAGTCTGGGGCGAGTGAGGGGTGGTCTGTAGGGTGAGGGATGCTGGTCCGTGGGATGAATGGATCTGGGGATCCGGGTGAGGGATGAGTCTATAGGGACAACAATGGGAGTGTGTGGGGTCAGTGTTGACATTCTGTGGGCTCCATGATGGGTGGCTCTTTCAGCTCTAATCTTTCAGATCAATAATATGTCCATGGATAAACAAAAATCTCTGCTCTTGTGGTGTCGACATTTCGATAGAGTGGTTTGATTTTTATTTCCCTCATGACCAGTAAGTTTGAGCACCTTTTCTTATATGGATTCATTACTTGGAGCGCCTCTTTTGTGAGGGGCCTGTTCAAGTCTTTTGTTCATTTTTCTGTTGGGCTCTCTGCCTTTCACTTACTTTGTAGGGTTTTTTTTGAGACAGAGTCTCGCTCTGTTACCCAGGCTGGAGTGTAGTGACATGATCTCGGCTAACTGCAACCTCCACCTCCCGGGTTCTAGCAATTCTCCTACCTCAGTCTCCCCAGTAGCTGGGATTACAGCAGCTGGGATCACAGGTGCCTGCCACCACGCCTGGCTAATTTTTTTGTATTTGTAGTAGAGACAGGGTTTGGCCAAGTTGGCCAGGCTGGTCTCGAACTCTTGACCTCAGGTGATACACCTGCCTTGGCCTTCCAAAGTGCTGGGATTACAGGTGTGAGCCACCTCACCCAGCCAGGAATTGTTTTCAAATATCCTGATACCACTCCTTTAGTAGTGGTATGTGTTTTGCAAATATCTCTTTCCAGTTTTTGGCTTCTCTTTTCATTTTATGGCTTTAAATATGAAGATTTTAAGTTAATTTTGAAATGTAAAGCACATTCTTCAGTTAAAAAACAGACAATGTCCTGTGGAATTTAGGAGGAGAACTAATTTTTTAGGGCATCCAGAAGCACTTAGAGTTGCAGCTCTGAAAATCTTAGTGCCGGAACAGCTTGGGAGGAGTTCTTTACTTTGTTCTTCTACCACCTCACTAAATCACTGGCAGTGGATCTTGGACAACTCATGAAACCTCTCTAGGCCTCAGTTTCCCCACTGTGAAATGAGGATAATAGCAGGGCCTACTCTGTGAGGCTTGGGATGAGAAGTGATTAATACCTGATTGTTACTTATTCGCCATAGTTTCTTAGCATTGGTGCACTGATTTTGTATATATTTCACCGATCTTCCTTGAACTCAAGGTTACTGCTGCTCATGTAATACCAAAGTCTGGTGAAGGAAATTAACTACCAAGGTTTTTTTTTTTGTTGTTGTTGTTGTTTCCTAAAACGTAGTCTTGCTCTGTCACCCAGGCTCAAGTGCAGTGGCACCATCTCAGCTCACTGCAACCTCCACCTCCTGGGTTCAAGTGATTCTCCTGCCTCGGCCTCCTGAGTAGCTGGGATTACAGGCACGCACCACCACGCCCAGCTAATTTTTGTATTTTTAGTAGAGACGGGGTTTCACCATGTCAGCCAGGCTGGTCTTGAACTCCTGACCTTGTGAGCCACCTGCCTTGGTCTCCCAAAGTGTTGGGATTACAGGCGTGAGCCACTGCGCCCAGTCAGGAATAAGGTTTTGTTAGGTAGGGCTGAGCTTTGGAGGGCCACAAACCATTGTAATATCTAAGGTTTTTTTTTTTTTGCCTGCAACAACTAAGTTTTGACCCTTGGGAGCAATATCACCCCCATTAAGAATGCATGATCTAGTTGTCTTTCTTTTCTTTTCTGTTTTTTTTTTTTTTTTTTTTTTTGAGACAGGGTCTTCTGTCGCCCAAGCTGGAGTGCAGTGGCATGATCTCAGCTCACTGCAACCTCCACCTTCTGGGTTCAAGTGACTCTCCTGCCTCAGCCTCCCAAGTAGCTGAGACTACAGGTGTGCGCCACCATGCCCAGCTAATTTTGTTTATTTTTTGAACGAGGTCTCACTATGTTGCTCAGGCTGGCCTCACACTCCTGGACTCAAGCATTCCTCCTGCCTTGGTCTCCCAAAGTACTGGGATGACAGGTCTGAGCCACCACCCCGGCCTGTTATTCTGTTATTAAACAATTAGGAACACATTCTTGTTTTCTGTCTTTTCTTCATTTTACAGCGATATTTCCATGCCATTAACTTAATTTCCATAGTACTACTTAGATTATTTCTATGGTAATACTTAAATATAAACGTTTCTTATAGAAATTTTCAAACATTCACAAAAATAGAGGGAACTGGATAATGGACCCATTATGCCCACTACCCAGTCTCATCAGTCATCAACTCACAGCCAGTCTTGTTTTATCTAGATCAGGGGTTGGGAAACTGGGCAGTGGGCCAAATCTGACATGCTGCTTTAAAAAAAAATACAGCCATGAGCTGAGAATGGTTTTCATACTTTTTATCATTGGAAAAAAATCAAAAGGAGAATAATATTTTGTGACCCATGAAAATGATGTAAAATTCAAATCTCAGTGCCCAAAAATGATGTTTTATTGGAAGACAGCCAGTGAGCACCTTTAGTTTATGTATTGTATAGCACTACTTTCAACCTGCAATGGCAGGGCTGAGTAGTTACAGCAGAGACCACAGACCCCACAAAATCTAAAACATTTACCATATGACTCTTTTACAGAAAAAGTTATTCAAGTACTCATCTAGGCCACCCTCTCACTTCTTCCTCCAGAATGCCCTTCCTTCCTTCCTTCCTTCCTTCCTTCCTTTCTTCCTTTCTTCCTTCTTTCCTTCCTCCCTCCCTCCCTTCCTTCTTCCTCCCTCCCTCTCTCCTCCCTCCCTCTGTTCTTTCTCTTCTTTCTTTCTTTTTCTTCTTTCTTTCTTTCCTTCTCCCTTTCTCTCTCTCTCTCTTTCTTTCTTCTTTCTTTCCTTCTCTTTCTTTCCCTCCCTCCCTCCCTCCCTCCTTCCCTCCCTTCCTTCTCTTGCTCATTGCCCAGGCTGAAGTGCAGTGGCTCAATCTTGGCTCACTGCAAACTCCACTTACTGGGTTCAAGTGATTCTCATGCCTCAGCCTCCCTAGTAGCAGGGATTACAGGCGCCACCACCACGCCCGGCTAATTTTTGTATTCTTAGTAGAAACGGATTTTACCATGTTGGCTAGGGTGGTCTCAAACTTCTGGACTCAAGTCGTTTGCCCACCACAGCCTCCCAAAGTGCTGGGATTACAGGTGTGTCCCACCATGCCAGGCTAATTTTTTGTATTTTTCATAGAGATGGGGGCTCCCTATGTTGCCTAGGCTGGTCTTGAACTCCTGGGCTCAAGCAATTTGCCTGCCTCCATCTCCCAACATGCTGGGATTACACGTGCACACCAACGTGCCCAGCTGATTTTGGTATTTTTTAGTAGAGATGGGGTTTCGCCATTTTTCCCAGAGTGGTCTCCAATTCCTGAACTCAGGCAGTCCACCCGCCTTGGCCTCCCAAAGTGCTGGCCCACTGCGCCCAACCTATATATAGTTCAATGACTTTTTACATGTGTAGTCTTTATTATTTTGAAACAAATTCCAGACACATCATTTCATCTATATATGCTTCATTATGTGAAAAATAAAGCCTTAAAGTTCGATTTTGTTGCCCTAAGGTAAAATAATTAACAATAGTATTTCAGATAATCAATGGTTAAATTCCTTAATGTTATCAAATATCTAGTCGGGGTTCAAACTTTCATGATTATCTAAAAATTTCTTTTGTCTATTCAAATTAAGACTCAGACAAGACCATACTTTACATTTGCTGGCAATGTTTAGAGTGTTGCTTTTTAAGTGTTGCGTTTTTAAGTGTTGCTTTTAATTATCTAGAGTGTTGCTTTTTACCTGCCTTTCGAGCCTTTTGAGCTTCCATAATTAATTTTCCCATTCTTTAGTGCTGGGCATTTATGCTATTTTCAGTAAGAGGATGTTAAAGACAAAACTGTGTTGAAGGTTTCTGAGGTTAAACATCTGTACACATCCATGATTATTACCTTAGGACAAAGTTCCCGAAATGGAGTTACTGGCTCAGATGAGAAACACAAGTCACCGATGAATTAACAAGCAACACATTGTCACATCCAGCTGTTGAAGAGTGTGGTTAACTCAGCTTCAGCTCTGAAGACTCTTTGCACTCCACCCTGCCCAGTTGCTTTCCAAAGAGAAACAAAAAATGATTGAGTCCCAGGTAAGTTACTTGTTTGCCACTTGGTTTTCCCACAACAAATTGGGAAAGGGTAATTGGTTGAAAATAAGGATTAGAGAAATTTAGAGAGAGTAGAAGATCAACAGGCAAAATTGCTGTGAAGATACACAGATCATCTGGCCTTATTTCATAGAAACTGAGCTAAACATTTTGACTATGAGCCTCCTGGCAGCTCCAGTGAAAAGGTTAACATCACATGATCAGTTATGCGATCTTCATTCTCCACAAAGAGAAATCAGTCCAGCTCCTTAGCCAGTCAAGATTTCTGGGACTTTAACCTAAGATATTTTGTTACTGAGTTTTCCTGAAGGCCAGTGGTCTTCAGTTCAGGGTGGCATTGTCAGTAGTAGTTCTAAAGAGACTGTTATTAAAGTTCTCTGGCAGGGGGTTGGAGAGTGGGAGAGTTTCCTGGTTTATGGCTGCTTTACTGTCATCTCAGAGTTTGTGGGGTCTCCACCCAACTCAAGGCCAGTTCCTTCTCTGCTCCTCCAGTTTCAGTCTGTCTTTTCTTTTTTTTCCCCTCCCTGCAAAGGTAATCTGATACATGGGGCAAAGAACATAAACAATATAGTTTAAAAAAAAAAAAGAAAGCAAAATATCTCCAACCTCACCTCTGCCTCCTTCCTGGCCTAACTAGCATTATCTGGTTTGAGGAGAATCTCTTTTCTTTATACATGTATAACTCCATCTATGTGTGTAGATGCCTGTGTCAGTGTGTGAAAGTGATCTGATTGTCACGCATTTTTTCTTTACCACACACGAAAAATACACACACCGTTTCTGTTCTGTTCTGCAACTTTCTTTTCTCCTAAAATTTAGTTTTTTCTTTCTTTTCTAAAGATTTAGTTTTTGTACATTTTATTACGGAAAATTTTAATTTTAAACATATACAAAAGTAGCGATTTTAGTGAACCCCTTTGTAATTACCCATCTGCAAATATTATCAACTGATAGCCAAGCTTGTTTTATCTGTCTTTTATCCCCACCCACTCCTGTCATCATCATGATCATGATCTAGCCAATCCCTTGTTAATATTTTGTTGAGGGTTTATACTACTATGTTTATGAGACATAGGGGCCTATAATTTTACTTTCTTGTATTGTCCCCGTCACATTTTGACATCCTGTTACACTGGCCTCATGTTGGAAAGTATTCTCTTTATATTCTCTGGGAAAATTCGGGTAATATTATTATTTCCTTCTTAAATTTTTTTTTGAGATGGAATTTCACTCTTGTCGTCCAGGCTGTAGTACAAAGGAACAATCTCAGCTCACTGTAACCTCCACCTCCCAGGTTCAAGCGATTCTCCTGCCTCAGTCTCCCAAGTAGCTGGGATTACAGGTGCCCACCACCATGCTCAGCTAACTTTTGTATTTTTAGTAGAGATGGGGTTTCACCATGTTGGGCAGGCTGGTCTCAAACTCCTGACCTCAGGTGATCCACCAACCTCGGCCTCCCCAAGTGCTGGGATTACAGGTGTGAGCCACTGGGCCTGGCCTATTTTTTTCTTAAATGTTTGGAAGAGTTCCCCAGTGAAGCCATCAGGATATGGAGTTTTCTTTGTGAGAAGGTTTTAAATGATATATTCAATTCATTTAAAAGATATACTACCATTCAGATTTTCGATTTCTTTTTATGTCCGGTTTGGTAAATTGTAATTTTCAAGTGATTTGTCCAGTTCATCTAAGTCAGGGATCAGCAAACTTTTTCTGCAGAGGGACAGATAGAAGTATCTGAGGCTTTATGGGCCATACGGTCCCTGTTGCAACTATTCAAATCTGCTGTTTTAGGTGGAAAGCAGGTATCGACAATATGTAAACTGATGAGCTTGGCTGTGATCCAGTAACACTTTATTATGGACACTAAAGGTTGGATATCATATAATTTTCATGTGTCACAAATATTATTCTTCTTTTGACTTCTTTTCAATCATTAAAAATGTAAAAACTGGGCCAGGTGCAGCTACTCACACCTGTAATCCCAGCACTTTAGGAGGCCAAGTTCTAGAGACGGGAGTTCTAGATGAGCTTGAGCAACATGGCAAAACCCCATTTCTACAAAAAAATACAATAATTAACCAGGCATAGTGACATGCACTTGTGGTCCCAGCTACTTATGAGGCGGGTGTGGGCGAATCACTTGAGCCCTGGAGGAAGAGGTTGCAGTGAGTCAAGATTGTTCCAGTGCACTCCAGCTTGGGTGATAGAGCAAGACGGTCTCAAAAGAAAACGTGTAAAACCAGTTTAGTTTGCAGGCCATTGAAAAACACATGATGGACTAAATTTGGCCTGCAGGCTATAGTTTGCTGTCCTCTAATCTACATTGTCAAATTAATGTCCATTAAATACCCATTTAATGTTTGCAGAATACCAGAACCTTGTTGCTGGGCTGTAAAAAAGTTATTTCTAAAATATACAATAGCGGTTGGGCATGGTGGCTCACGCCTGTAATCCCAGCACTTTGGGAGGCCAACGCGGGTGGATCACCTGAGGTCAGGAGTTTGAGACCAGCCTGGCCAACATGGTGAAACCCCATCTCTCTAAAAAAAAGGCATAAAACATACAATAGTAATAGTAATAATGAGAATCAAAGCTACTATTTGCCCAGTGCTTACCAGGTGCCAGGCACTGCTATTAATAAAATATAATGGAATTAACTCATTTAATTTACCCAGGAACCCTCCGTGCTAGGTACCATTGTTATTCCCATTTTTCAGATGAAGAAAGTGAGGCACAGAGTTCGCACAGCTAGTACATGGCCTAGTCAGGACTCTAAAGCAGTGAAGTCACAAATAAAATGACCTTATAAAGACATCTTTTTGTATTTGTAAGTATTTGTGTGTAGGCCACATTCTTAGACATGAGTGTGCTAGGTCAGAGGCACACATGTTCATAAATTTAAAGAGTATTTTTCAAATTGTATATATATATTTTTTGAGACAGAGTCTCACTCTATTGCCTAGATTGGAGTGCAGTGGTGTGATCTCAGCTCACTGCAACCTTGGCCTCCCAGGTTCAAGTGATTCTCCTGCCTCATCCTCTTGAGCAGCTGGGATTACAGGTGCCCACCACCACACCTGACTGATTTTTATATTTTTAGTAGAAACGGGGTTTCACCATGTTGATCAGGCAGGTCTTGAACTACTGACCTCAGGTAATCTGCCTGCCTTGGCCTCCCAAAGTGCTGGGATTACAGGCCTGAGCCACCGTGCCTGGCCCAAATTGTATTTCAATACTGTGCAATCAGCTTACACATGTGATCACAAATTGTTTACAAGAAAGCCCACCTGTTTCCAGTGTTCCCTTCCCTCCTGCCACCATTAGCCATCATCTGTATTTTTCTTTCCTGTTATTTTTATGAGTATTATATCCCATTTTCATTTGCTTTTCTTTAGCCATTAAATAAGATTCAGCATCTTTTCACATATTTATTTTCCATTTTGTATTTCTCTGTGAATCCCTCTTTCCTTATCTTTGCTTATTGTTTTCCAGGAGCTTTTTGTATATGAATGATCTTGAAGTGCACATTGCAAACCCTTTTTTTTTTGCCAGGTGGTGATTTCTCTCTCAACCTTTTTGTCTATCTCCCCTCACCAGAATATAAACTCATTCAGGGAAGGTTTTTGCCAGTTTTTTTTTTTTCCTGGTGTATCCCCAGTTCCTACAATCACTAGGTACTCAATAACCGCTTGATGAGTGAATGAATGTTTTTTTTCCAGTTAATGTTATCTTAGATATTGTGGCATATCAATTAATGTAGAGCTTCCTTGGTGCTTTTTTTTTTTTTTTTTGGAGACAAGGTTTCACGCCAGTTGCCCCAATAGAGTGCAGTGGCACTATCTTGGCTCACTGTAACCTTGACCTCCCAGGCCCAGGTGATCCTCTCACCTCAGCCTTCCTAGCTGGGACTACAGGCATGTGCCACCACACCTGGCTAATTTTTTGTAGAGACAGGAGTTTTTGCCATGTTACTCAGGCTGTTTTTTTTTCTTTTGAGACAGAATCTCATTCTCTCACCCCGGCTGAAGTGCAGTGGCATGATCTCGGCTCACTGCATCCTCCACCTCCTGGATTCAAGAAATTCTCCTGCCTCAGCCTCCTCCCAAGTCCAACTGGGACTACAGGCATGCGTTACCACGCCCAGCTAATTTTTGTATTTTTAGTTGAAACAGGGTTTTGCCATGTTGGCCAGGCTGGTCTCGAACTCCTGACCTCAAGTGATCCTCCTGCCTAGGCCTCCCAGACTGCTGGGATTAGAGGCGTGAGCCACCACATCTGGCCCCTTCCTTGTTGCTTTTTATAATTGCATATAGTATTCCCTTATGGGGATTGTAGCATCATTTATTCATCCAATCTCCCATGAGGTTGTTTCCATTCTTTTGCTATTATAAATAAATAATACTGTAGAGCAGTGTCTTCGCATATGTCATTTGGTCACTTTTATGAATATTTATGTAGAATAACTTCTAGAAACCAAATTGCAAGTCAGAGGATGTGTACATTATAAATTTTGATAGGTATTGCCGAATTAATTGCCTTCAAAATACACTGTATACCACAGACAATTTGAGTATGCATTTCTTGACATCTTCACTAACTTACACTAAGTCACTGTGACTTCTCCCACAGTCTTAGCATTTGATCAGTGACTTATCAAATGCCCATCTTTGATAATATGTAAGGGAAAAATGGTGTCTTGTTTTAGTTTGCATTTATCTTCATGTGAGTGAAGTTGAGCATCTTTTTACATGTTTAAAAAACATTTGCATTTTCTTTTCTGTGAATTGATTGTCACGTCCTTGACCATTGTATTAGTCTGTTATCATGCCACTATAAAGAAATACCCAAGACTGGGTAATTTATAAAGGAAAGAGGTTTAATTGACTCAGTTCCATATGACTGGGAAGGCCTCAGGAAACTTACAATCATGGTGGAAGGGGAAGTAAGGAGTTTATTCATATGTTGGAGGAGAGAGAAGTGCCAGCAAGGGAAATGCCAGACACTTATAAAACCGTCAGATCTTCAGAGAACTCACTCACTATTACGAGAACAGCATGGGGGAAACTGCCTCCATGATTTAATCACCTCCCTGACAAGTGAGGATTGCAATTTGAGATGAGATTTGGGTGGGGACACAGAGTCAAACCATATCAACCATTTAAAAAAAAGTTATTGGTCTTTTTCTTCTTGCTTTGTAGGAGCTCTCTCTATATTTGGAGGAAATTAGCTTTTTGTCCATCCTATCTGTTGTGTGTATGATTTTTCCCTAGTTAGTCATGTCCTTTGAGTTTATTTATGATCTGTTTTGCCATGTAATACATAAAGTAGTCACGTTTATCAGTGTTTTCATTTGTGGTATCTGGGTTTTGGGACATGCTTAGAAGAGTCTTCCACTCAAAGATTATTTTTTAAAACCTCTCCTGTCTTTATTTTATAGTTTCTCTTTTTTCATTTAAATTTTTGTCATACCTTGAATTTCTTTTTATGTTTAGTGTAGTGTAGGAAATCCAGTTACATTTTTTGTTTCTGATACCTCTCCAGTTTTGAATAATCTGTTTTTCCATATCTGTTTAAAATGCTGCCTTTATTATGTATTAAATTTCCCATTTTATTTGTATCTATTTCTAGACTGTTCTGTTCCACTAACTATTCTTGCTAATGGCAGGATTTTACATTGTTTCTATCATAAAGTATGCTAGGCAAAGTGCAAAGTAGGCATTCCATATGTATTGCTATGGTACAAAATCACCAGAACAAGCAGATTGTACAGGAATGTTCTGTTACAGGAATCAGTGACATTTGAGGATGTGGCTGTGGACTTCACCCAGGAAGAGTAGCAGCAGTTGAATCCTGCTCAGAAGACCCTGCATAGGGATGTGATGCTGGAGACCTATAGTCATCTGGTCTCTGTGGGTAAGGGCAGATTCCCTTTGTACCAACGAATCAAATCCTACTCATCCTTCTTTAGGGTTGTCAATATCATGACCTTTGATCTTCCTTTAACAGAATGTGTTCTTTTACAGTTTTAGTTTTTCATGTTTATACTTTTGTTACATCTAGAATTTATTTTTGTGTTGTGGTGTGAGTTAACCTGTTGTGGCTGGGAGGTCCCTGCAAGTGCTTCTCTTCATGAATTTCTGAGCTGCCAAGGCCAAAGCCACTATAGTTTTCTCTTAACAGGGTGTTCAGGTATAAAACCAGATGTAATCTTTAAGGTGGAACATGAAAAGGACCCATGGACCAAAGACAGTGTGTTGTCAAGGTGGATCTACCCAGGTAAGTGAGAATTGGGTAGATGGTCAAGAGGGGATCTTCTTCCTTGACATCAGTTACCTTCTTTCTTCCTTAAAATGTATCAGGCCTCCTTTATAACATTCATTCTGCAATAGTCACCTTCCTAGTAACTCTGTTCATTGCCAACTGTTTGTATATGTGCGTGTGTGTGTGTCTATTTGATTTTGCCTCTTTCTTCCTTCAGACAGAGAGAAAGGCCTTAAATCTTCCCAGCAGATCATTTCTGGAGAACTTTTATTTCAAATGGAAATACTAGAAAGAGCCCCAGAGGGTAATTCATTGTACTCTGTTTAAAAAATCTGGCATATTGATAATCAAATAGATAGACATCAAGGAAACCAAGACAGAGTTTTGAGGCCGGTCACAGTCATCAGCCATGAAACACTGACTGAGGAGACAGATTCCAAATATAGTGCATTTGGGAAAATGTTCAATCGGTGCACAGACCTTTCTCCTTCAAGTAAAAAATTCCGTAAGTTTGATTCATGTGAAAATAGCTTGAAGCCTAGTTCAGATTTACTAAATTATAACAGGAGCTATGCAAGAAAGGACCCCATTGAGAGATTTGGATGTGGGAGATCACCTAGCTATAATGTTTCCTGTTCTGTACCTGAGAAGGAAGGCTTCATTCGTACTGAATGGAGCCCTGTGGAGATAGTCAATGTGAAAAAGTTCTCAGTCATAAGCAAGCCCATATTCAGTATAAGAAAGTTCAAGCCAGAGAGAAACCCAGTGATTATAGTATGTGTGGGAAAGGCTTTATCAGGAAGTCACAGTTCATTATACTCAAAGAATTCACACTGGAGAGAAACCATATGTATGTGGAGATTGTAGGAAAGCTTTCAGTGAGAAATCAAACCTCATTGTGTATCAGAGGATTCATACTGGGGAGAAATCCTATGAAAGTACTGAGTGTGGAAGGGCATTCTCCCAGAAGTCACTGTTCATTGTTCATCAGAGAGTCCACACTGGAGAGAAACCCTCTGAATGTTTTGAGTGTCCAAAAGCTTTCTCCCGGAAGTCATGTCTATTTATTATTATTATTTTTTCATTTCTTTTTAGTCACATCTAATTATACATAAGAGAGTTCATATGAAAGAGAAGTCCTTTGAATGCAGTGAATGCAGGAAAGCCTTCTGTGAGACATCTCACCTTTTTATACACCAGATAACTCATACTGGGGAGAAACCCTATGAATGTACCGAATGTGGGAAGACCTTCTCTCGGCAAACACAGTTCATTATACATCAGAGAACACATACTTGAGAGAAGCCCTATAAGTGTAGTGAATGTGGAAAAACTTTCTGCCAACAGTCCCACCTCATAGGACATCAAAGAATTCATATAGCAGAAAACACTTATGTCTATACTGACTCTGGGAAGGCCTTTTCTCAGATCTCACACCTCACTGGCCATCAAAGGCTTCATACTGGAGGGAAACGTTATATGTGTACTGAATGTGGAAAATCCTTCTCTCAGAAATCACCTCTTATCATACACCAGAGAATTCATACAGGGGAGAAACCTTATGAGTGTGGTGAATGTGGCAAAACCTTCTCCCAGAAATCACCCCTCATTATTCATCAGAGAGTTCATACAAGGAAGACCTGTGAGTGTACTGAGTGTGGGAGGGCCTTTTCCCTGAAGTTACATCTCATTCTACATCAGAGAGCTCGTACTGGAGAGAAACCCTATGAATGTAGTGAATGTGGAAAAGCCTTCTGTGAGAAGTCTCCACTCATTATACATCAGAAAACTCATCCTAGGGAGAAATCCCCTGAATGTACTGAGTTTGGAATGACTTTTTTCCGGAAATCACAGATGATTACACATCAGAGAAGACACTCTGGGGAGAAGCCCTCCAGATGCAGTGACTGTGGGAAGGCCTTCTGCTAACATGTATACTTCACTGGGCATCAGAATCCATATAGGAAACATACCTTGTATATATGCTGATTGTGGGAAGGTCTTTTCCCAGAAGTCAGTCCTCATTGTGCATGGGAAAACTCACATTAAAGAGAAATGGTGGCAACTTCTCAACTGTAGAATAGAATCATATGTTCCTCCTTCCACAGAATGATCTGGTAAGCCCTCAGAATGCTTTCAACACCATAAATATGGAATCGATTTGCTCACCCTCAAACTATCTCAGCCCCTTTCACAGAATAAATGTATCTGGAATAATTAGCACTACATTGGTGTTGTCTGGTCCTTAAATGCTTCATAGAATTCTCCAGTGAATTTATTTGGGCATGGTGCATGATTTGAAGGGTATCTGTTTGTCATCTTTATTTCTCTCATCATATTTTTCTGTTTAGATTATATTTGCACTTATTTATTTATTTAGATACCCAGGCTATCACTCTGTTACTCAGGCTGGAGCACAGTGGCATGTCTCAGCTCACTGCAACCTCTGCCTCCTAGGTTTGAGTGATTCTCCTACCTCAGCCTCTTGAGTAGCTGGGATTACAGGCATGCACCACCAGGCCTGGCTAATTTTTGCATTTTTGGTAGAGATAGGGTTTTGCCATGTTGGCCAGGCTGGTCTCGAACTCCTGACCTCAGGTGATCTGCCCACCTCGGCTTCCCAAAGTGCTGGGATTACAGGCATGAGCCACAGCACCTGGCCTATATATGCATTTAGATTGAGATATTGATATATCAATATATAGATGTAGACATATGGATTCTTTGTAATTTTTAAAAATCATGTATTTTCTCAAGGTTTTTAATATTTTGTATCATTTTGGGTAAAGTAGTCTCATGATTAATTTCCTTTATATCTGTGGCTATTTCTCCAACATGGTTCTCATAGAGTGTATTTGTGATTTTTTTCCATCAATTAGGTAAACAAATGCTAATATTTTATTTCTTTTACTCTCCCTCACTTGTATTGCCATTCTTAGATTTTTGCCATTTTTCTATTTTCTAATTATTCATTTATGCTTTTATTTCACTAAAATCCTTCCATCCGCTTTTATATATTTTTCTTTTTCTAACTTCTTTCGTTTAATGTCTAATTAAATTAATCTCTCTTTCTGGTTTATTATGGGTAGATTGTGTCTCTTAATCTGAGAACTTCTTTAGACATTGTGGTCCAATCTGAGAGTATTCTGCTTTTTAATAGGCAAATCCTATTGTTTAGCCCAATTTTGTTTATAGGTATGACATATCTATTTGGTCTTAGGACTCCCAGCATATTTCCTGTTGTACATCCTCTTTTCATTGCTTTTTTGTCTTTGGACCCTTCATCATGTGGTCCTGATTTCATTTGCACTGTTCTGAATGTGTTACTTTGTTCCAGGGTATAACAAAGACAAGGAGTCTCCCAAAGGGTTTTCAGGAAGCTAAGCATAATCCAGATATCCTTAATCTTGATAATCCATAATACCTGAAAGATGAGATTTCAAACTGCAAAGAAGCATGATGGCAGGTCAGTGGCTATAAATGTTCAGAGGACATCTTTACCTTTCTACTCAGTGCCAAGATTTTAGATGGATGATTCCTTTATCATTTATCTCAGTTCACTTTGTACCTCTACAACAGAATGCCTGGGACTGGTAGTTTATGAAGCATAGAAGTTTATTTCTTATGATTCTGGAGGCTGGGAAGTACAAGATCAAGGCACTAGCATTTGGGTTGGTGAGGGCCTTCTTGCCATGTCCTCACATGGCAAAAGGCAGAAGGGCAAGCTGATAAGCCAGGGAGCTAACTGAACACTTCATAAATCTTCTTAATCTTCTTTTAAGAGGGCATTAATCCATGAGTGAGGGAGCAGCCCTTGTGGCCCAATCACCTCTTAAAGGCCCCACACCTTAATACTAGTGCATTGGCAGCATCTAAATTTTGGAGGGGACACATTCAAACCATTGCACAGTCCCTTGGGCAAAGGTGTTTTTATTTCAGGCTTATTCTTTCACTGAAATTAAAGCCATTTTTGTTCCCAGATTTATGTCAGCAATCTTTACTCACCTTGAGCAGGCAATTTTCTTGAGAATTGCAGCTTTGGTTTGGCAGATACTCTCAAAGTGAAGGGGTAGCAATAGTGGATGCTATGGTCTGAACATTTGTATACTTTCCAAATTCATATTTTGAACCCTAATTACCAATGAAAATAGTTCCTGCTTTGTGGAGACATGGGTAATAAAAGGTGATATATATATAGAGAGAGAAAGATATATGTTTTTGCTGTGTGTGTGTTTCTGTGTGTATAAGTATTCATCCTCTGGTGATGGTATGGATGAAAGTAAACCAAGATAGGGAGCAAGGAATCACCTGTGGATATGGGGTGGGCAGTAAACAAAGTCTGTTAGGATCTGTTTCAAGTCAGATCATCGTGTCTAGGTTGGGTTGGGAATCAGAAGTTAGATTACGGAGGATTTTCCTTGTCCATTTATAGAGGCTTTTCCTTTCCTAATGTTTACCTATTTATGTTATTTACATATTTTTCTCCACGTGTAGATCATATTTGTAGGGAGAAAAAAATAATAGACTTATAGTGGAAGAGTGTAGGAGAAGGAATTTGCCTTGAGTTGGGCATGAACTCACAAACAGAGACAACAGCAAAGAAGCCACGGAAAACCAGAAAATCCCACTCTCTGCTCTGCAAGCATCTACCAGAAAAATTTAAAAACAGTTTCATTGGGAGAATCCTGAGTTGAAAATCACTACTGACTTTTAGAAAGAACCAACAATCACATTCCTTATGCCTAAGTGCCTGGATTTTTTTTTTTTTTTGAGACAGAGTCTCTCTTTGTCACCCAGGTTGGAGTGCAGTGATGTGACCTTGACTTACTGCAACCTCCACCTCCCAGGTTCAAGCCATTCTCCCGCCTCAGCCTCCCGAGTAGCTGGGATTACAGGTGCATGCCACTATGTCTGGCTAATTTTTTGTATTTTTAGTAGAGACAGGTTTCACCATGTTGGCCAGGCTGATCTCGAACTGCTGACCTCAGGCGATCCACCTGCCTTGTTCTCCCAAAGTGCTGGGATTAAAGGCGTGAGCCACCACAGCCAGCCTGGAAAATTTACTTCCTAAGAAGTTGATTTATTTTCTCTTTATGGAGAATGAAATCATGTAGCTGATGATGTTTGCCCTTTTCACAGACAAATGTGCAGTTTATATAAAAGTAAAGTTATATGGGCCATTCATCTCACTCTCTCTCTCTCTTTTTTTTTTATACAGTCTCGTTCTGTCACCCAGGCTGGAGTGCAGTGGCGTAATCTCAGCTCACTGCAACCTCTGCCTCCTGGGTTTAAGCAGTTGTCCAGTCTCAGCCTCCTGAGTAGCTGGGATTATAGGTGCCTACCACCACGCCTGGCTAATTTTTGTATTTTTAGTAGAGGCGAGGTTTCACCATGTTGGGCAGGCTGGTCTTGAACCTGTTGGCTAGGCTGGTCTCGAACTTATTAATCTCTTTATTCTTTCTAAATTTCTCTGATGCCTGTTTTTCAATTATTTTTCTTTTTCTATTTTGTTGTGTGGAAAACCAAATAGGAAATTCTGTGTTGGGGGTCCCCTAGACTACTCTCAGACTTGATAATTTACTAGAAGAACTCACAGAACTCAGAAAAATGGTTGTATTTATGGTTATGGTTTATTATAGCTAAAGATACAGATTAAACCAGCAAAGAAAAAAGGTGCATTAGAGCAGAGTTCAGGAGAAACCAGGTAGAAGCTTCCAGTTATCCTCTCTGAGTAGAGTCATATGAATAGCACTTAATTTTCCCAGCAATGGTATGTGACAACACGTATAAAGTATAGCCAACCAGGGCAACTCACCTGAGTCTTGCTTTCTAGGGTTTTTTATTGGGAGTCAGTTCTGTAGGCATGGAATGTCCATATGACTTGACCTTAGCCACTTCGACCCCAGCTTGCCAGAAGTCAAAGTGATATAGTGTGACTCGAAGTCCCAAGCATACAAAAATATGCATTTATGTAGATCACATTGTTAGCATAAACTATTTGTCTTGCCCTAAGATTTCAGGTATACAAAGAGACTCTTATCAGGCAAGATATTCCAAGGGCTCAGAGATTATTTCTTAGGAATTGGTCCAGGGTCAATTCTAAAGACATTTGAAATGTGCAGGGTTTGGGCAGCTTAGGCCTGCTGAGTTAACACTTTACTGCAAAGCCCACTCCTCTGGCCCTTGGCCCAGGCTCTCTTACAGCAAAATGATAAAATTTGTTTGAGCATCTACATTTAGTTTAGTATTTAGTATAGCATATACTACACATAGCAATAGTATCTGTTTGCATATTCCTAACATTTGGAAGAGCTAGTGTAGGGTAGGGGTAGATTTAAATAGACAACTAATCCATCTTACAAAACCATTACATTTCATGCTAATTTGATTATTTATGTATTTAGAGACACAGTCTTGCTCTATTACCCAGACTGGAGTGCAGTGGCAAGATCTTGGCTCACTGCAACCTCTGCTTCCTGGGGTCAAGTGATCCTCCCACTTCAGCCTGCCAAGTAGCTGGGACTACAGGCATGTACCACCATGCCCAGCTAATTTTTATATTTTTTGTAGAGACAAGGTTTCACTATGTTGCCCAGGCTGGTCTCAAACTGCTGAGCTCAAGCAGTCTACCTGCTTCAGCCTCCCAAAGTGCTGGTGTTACAGGCGTGAGCCACTGTGCCCGGCCTAATTTCATTATTTATTTACCCTCTTGATCTACTGCTATTTGTACGTTATGATAAATCTATACAGAACTATTTAGGATAAAAAGTAGCTGATGGTTAGCTAAATCTAGTTTTTCCTCAGACCAGCAACTCTCCATCAGTATTACATCCTGAATAAGCTTTAACTCAATCTTCCAATAAATTTGACTATTCATATCTGTATTATCACATGAGTTATTCATATAAGACAGTTGAATCTTATTAACAATGCCAGTGTTACAGCCTATCACAGTATGGTTAGAATATGGATTTATTTCAAGTCAGTAAGAATTACAGAGGTATTTGCTAAACCGTCCTAACAGAATCAGCACTTGTGCGTATACCAGATATTATTCTTGACAAGTATTATTACAATGAGCTATAACTTGGTTAACTCTGGATTCTAAGACAATTGAGGACAAAATCCGTCATCTTATCTCAATCCACAGGCTTGCACTGAGACTGATTTCCATTATGTGTTGTTATAAATCAGGGCCCATATCCCTTCTATGGGGAGGACACAGGTGTCCTTATGGCCATTTTGGTCTCCATCTGTATTAAAATAGTCAAGAGGCCCTGCTGGGTCTGGGTACAAACCCTTTTCCAATACTGGATCCTAGCATTACCCAGCATTATTTGTTGAGCCTGCCTGCCCCACTTCACTAAAGCCTTATTACCTTTCCAGGCTGACACCATCCTTTGTCTTTCTCTTGGAAGAGAATCCCTCTAGTCTATGCATTCTAGTTTATACATCTTTTCTTCTGAGTGCTACTTCTCCTTAAAAGCGAATTCAACTTGTCCCACGATGCCTAGACCAGCACCTAGCTCCCTTAAAGCCCTTTTCTGTTCCATGAATCAACATTGTTTAATCCACTATGCATGTTGTTGCCATTGGGCACTGCTGGCCTGAGTGCAGCTAGGACACATGTGTATCCCAAAATGTTGGGATCCTCATAACAGAGTTAGATGATTGGTAATCACATCTAGATGTAATTTAGTCTGAGTATGACATAAGGGCTCACATAGCCTTCCTCATCTCAGGGTGGGGCATTTCCCTAGGGAATTTGAGCCTACCACCTGATGTCTATTGCTTTAATCCTGTGGGAAACCCATTTGTTTTTTCTATTCTGGTTAATACTAGGTTGGTGCAAAAGTAATTGCGATTTTTGCCATTACTTTTAATGTAATGTAAAACTGCAATATTTTGCACCAACCTGATAACTTCCCATCCACAAAACAAGGGTGATATACATTTGTGCATGGCTAACTGGAGCATGTCAGATATGCTGCTGCTATACTTTGTCTCTTATAACCGGGGAACTTTCTAAGTATTCTATCATTAAGGTCTATAGTTACACGGTAATCAGTCTGCTGGGACTTTTACGACATGCAGTCCGACAGCCTGGCAGGGTGTAGCTCCTAGAAATTCCTTCCAAAATGATATCTTTTTTTTTTTTTTTTGGGACAGAGTCTCGCTCTGTTGACAAGGCTGGAGTGCAGTGGTGCAATCTCGGCTCACTGCAGCCTCCACCTCCCGGGTTCAAGCGATTCTCCTGCCTCAGCCGTCCTGAGTAGCTGGGATTACAGGCACCTGCCATGATGCCCAGCTAATTTTTGTATTTTTAGTAGAGACGGGGTTTCGCCGTGTTGGCCAGGCTGGTCTTGAACCCCTGACCTCGGTGATCTGCCCACCTTGGCCTCCCAAAGTGCTGAGATTACAGGTGTGAGCCACTGTGCCTGGCCCCAAATGATTTACTTTTGACAACAGTCGAAAGATACTGGCATGTCGAGTTTCACTCAGTCATCAACAATTGGTCTAGTTCATCATCATATGATGTAACCAAAATGTCTCCCAGAATGATGTCACTGAGGTTTGCAGGCTTCCATTCAACCTTGCCAGTTTCCAAAAGGAGAGGTAGTCTCAACAGACATATGGCTTCACGTTTTAAGCATCTGGTGTAATTGTGCTAGGAGGAGACAATATTCTCTTGATCCGAGCCTCTCTCGAGGCACCAGTTTAATAGTGGATTTCCCCCATTGCATAAACCATTTATTCATTCGTTTCCACTCAACTACCATTTATTTTTCTCTCCACTTGTCAGTTATTTCTATCCAAACTTTTTTGCCTTTGGAAGGGATGTTAGGTTCAGTCACTGACCCGGATTTCTGTCAGTAATGCTAGTCTAGCAAGTGCCTCCCCCTCAGTTCATTCCCATTCATATGGGGTAGGGTTACAAAGGTACGGAACTACTGAACTATTAATATTTACCACTAGGTAATACAGTTGTATTCACTGTCAACTCCAATTTTGCCATAGATGTAGGTGGTTTGAGGGATTTGGGGGCCGATGGAGGAAAATGATGGAACCACGAGGTGGCAGTAGCATGCACAGCTTTAGTGGGTGGTGCCTTGACAGGCTTGTGTGTGGCAGAGGTCCCTCACAGCAGGAGTCTGTACAGAGGTTACTCAGAAGGGAATGAAGGCAAGGAATTCTTAGGGGAGATGGGGGTCAGAGAGGAGACTTATGTGTCTAGGTGATGTTGCTTAGCCAGCAGCATGGAGTTATTGGGTCAGACAGCTCATAAGGGCAGTAGAGGCTTGGGGTCCTTATGGCCCAGGGCTTATCTATTGTTAACAGATGTGGGGTGAAATTTTGTGAAGCATGCAAAACAGGTAGGCTGTAAATGGCTAAAAAAAAAATTCCTCTTTGGTCTAGTTTTAAAAAATAATTGGATGTGCAAATATTTAAGTTTGGCACTGGTGGGCCTTTGAATGAATGGATCTCAACCTGCAGGGAAGAAATAACCTGGGGGTTAATACATAGAGGCCATGTTTGGCTCATATATATATATATATATATATATATATATATATATATATGAAAGCATCCTGGGCCCGGCACAGTGGCTCATACCTGTAATCCCAGCACTTTGAGAGGATTGCTTGAGGCCAGGAATTTGAGACCAGCTCTGGTGACACTGGTGCAGTGAGCTATAATTGTGCAACTGCATTCCAGCCTGGGGGTCTCCACAAATAACTAAGTAGCTAAATTCATAAAAATAAAAATCCATGCCCTGGGCCTAGGTGGCTTTATAATCTTTTTTTTTTTTTTTTTTGAAACTGAGTCTCACTCTGTCGCCCAGGCTGGGGTGCAGTGGCACAATCTTGGCTCACTGCTACCTCCACCTCCCGGGATTCAAGTGATTCTCCTGTCTCAGCCTCCTGAGTAGCTGGGATTACAGGCATGCGTCACCACACAGCTAAGTTTTGTATTTGTAGTAGAGATGGGGTTTCACCATGTTGGTCAGGCTGGTCTCGAACTCCTACCTCGTGATCCGCCTGCCTTGGCCTTCCAAAGCGCTGGGATTATAGACGTGAGCCACTGCGCCGGGCCTATAATCTTAGTTGTATGTTATTTCATAATAACTGATTTTGGTGCCAGTGATAAAGCAACCTATAAGAGTTGTATAAGATTCTTGGTCTTATAGGCCACAAATTAAGATTTCATAGCCTATTTGCATCCAGTCTGCCCATTTAGTGCGGGAAAGCCAGGAGAAAAGATCAGAAAGGGAGAAGACTTTGATTTGTTTGTCTCTTCGGTGTACCTGGCTGGCTGTAAGCCTTGGAGAGGTTCACAGTTGCCCATTGCTTACCCTCTGCTTATCCTTAAACCTGAACACAAAGAACCGGGGCATGCCCCCTGCTTGTCCAGTTTCCTTTCCAAAGATTGCTTATCTCTGCTTGCCTCCTCCTTCCTCTATAAAAGAAAAGCCTTTTTCTGTTTGCTTTGAGTCTTGCAGACCTCGTAGTCACAGCATTCTCCCTATTGCAATCATCCTCCTCTCCCTAGTGCAATAGTGCTTTTCCTTCCTTTGTAATAATCCTTTTAAATAAAAGTCTCTCCTTACTAAATCCTGATTTGTGTTTCTTTGAATACTAATGCTGGCATGACTCAGATGTAGTGCTGGCTGTTCCCTCTGACCCTGTGTCTTCACCCAGTTATTCATGCTGGCTTCCTGGACCCTTTGACACGGTACTTTTGTGTGTTTTTTGCCTGGAAAAGTAGGACTCTGTGGTGGGGAGTCATACTTCCTAATCTAATCCAGTGTTTTGAAGGTTTATCTGTTGAAATGTGGTAGTCAGGAGTTACGTTTATTCTTTCTGGCAAAAAGACTTCTGTATCCCTTTCTGTGAGGCCTTTTCTGTTTTTTTTTTTCTTGGTTCGCTAAACTGGGGGATTATGCAGAAGAATTTTCTTGGCATCTCAAACATGGGGATTGTATGTGGGAATTTCCTCCGCTCCTCAATCCCTGGCGATTGCATGGGGTGTGGGGTTCACTTGACTCCATCCCAGAAATTGTGTGTGGGAGTTCTCTGGGCTTTCTGCCATGGAGATTACATGAAGTGTTCCCTTGGCAATTCAATCTTGGCTTATTATCTGTTAATCCCACGGGGAACTCATTCTCTTAGATGCCTTCCCTCCTCTTCTTTCCTGTTTACTACATAGTGGTTCAGTCTAATATATTCATGAATGGCCAAAGAATTGCCAGAGACAATTTGGAACTTCGGTAGCGTCTTTAGGGAACTTGAGCTCTCCAAAAATTAGCTCATCTAAGACTTTTCCCTTCTCCTGAGCTCCACTCCTCCTTCCTTCTCTTGCCACCTTTGATCTTCCTTTCAGTTTCCTTGGATCCTTTGATGTGTCCCCATTCATACATCTACCTCCTCCACCTGTCTCCCCCTGCCAGACCTTTCACTTCTGAAACCAGTACCTCAACTCCCTATAGTCGTTAGCGCTTTAGTCCCTCTGCCACCACTGGGGGACTCTTGAGGGGCTCAGGGACCCCAAAAGCAAGCACCAGAGGCTGAAAAAACTAACTGGAAACAGACTGGATATTTTATCTACTCAGGTGGTCTTTGGAGATACCACACATCAGGGCAAAGAGAATCTTTTTTTTTTTTTTTTGAGACTGAGTTTCGCTCTTGTTACCCAGGAGGCGGAGGTTGCGGTGAGCCGAGATCGCGCCATTGCACTCCAGCCTGTGAGAATTGCACTCCTCCTGCCTGAGGCAATTCTCCTGCCTCAGCCTCCTCAGTGGCTGGGATTACAGGCACGTGCCACCACGCCCAGCTAATTTTTTATATTTTTAGTAGAGACGGGGTTTCACCTTGTTGACCAGGATGGTCTCGATTTCTTGACCTTGTGATCCACCCGCCTCGGCCTCCCAAAGTGCTGGGATTACAGGCATGAGCCACCGCGCCAGGCCAAGAGAATCTTAAAAGTCTCCTCCACAAATATTGAGGGGAAACTTTAGCCCTCATATTGAATAGGTAAACCTCAACTTGTCCCATCTGCCAGGAGCATAATTCTGATAAAAATACAAAGTGGGGGTAAAGACAAGAGCCAACTCTGTTGCTGTGATTGTGGCTAAAACTTTAGGAAGAAAGCTGTAAGATCTTTATTTGCATCTGTCTGTATGTTGATGTATTTATTTGATGCATATGTGATATTTTTCTACCTTCGGATAATATTATCAAATTAATTTATAAAATTCCTTAAAAACCCTAAAACTGTCAGGAAAAAAAATTCTGAATTTCTAATACTTTCAGTGTGGGGGAAAAAGTATTCCCTAAAACCTAACATCAATGTTTTAAAAATTCAAGTTGCATAATTTAGGTAAACCTTTGGCAAACAAGATTAGCTTAATATTATTGATTTAATAAAAACAGCTATGTTTTATGAGTTATTACCATTAAGTATAACAGTGTCAGATAAGGGGAAGCTTGTGACAAGCCCTTTGATTCCCTTACAGGTTCACCAGGGTCCCTCTGCGGCCTGTATTCTCTGTTCCTATGAAGGGAAGTTTGTGTGGCTCAGAGCAAATCCAGGTGGTGTTAATAGGAGCTTATAATGTTATAGGGAAGCAAACGTGCATGTAACCCACCTCATATTCAGCACCTGGGTCAGCTCAGTTGGTTATGGGCTCAGCCCACCATTGTCCACATATTTGCATGAGATTAACCTCTGGACATTGCTATTGGATGTCTATAGCCAGGGGATTAGGTTCATCTTGATTAGTGAGGTTTGTTGGGGAGCTTGGCTGGGAGAGAGGAATTACACCATGTGGATTAAAATCAGGTTGGCAGAAGCAAGCATGCAGTTAAATTTGCCATTTGTGGATGGCTGTGGCTAAGGCTATATCTATGCACGCTCGGTTTGGTGGGCAATTATTATTTTCCTCTTTGTTCTCATTGGTGCACATTGGTATCTGAGTTTCTTGCCAATTGCCAATATTAAATAGCATGTTTGTACTTCCGTGGGTAAGGGATAAACTTTGCAATTGTTCTGAGCATTTTTTAAAGTTGTTAATTTAGCCCCATACCAAAGTAGACTCTGTACTATGGAGCACTCGCATATGGTATCTTCACAGGGGCATCCAAGTTATTTCAAACATAGACATCAATTGTATTCTATGTTTGAGCCATATCTGTCCTGTGTTTAAGAGACTGGGAATTCCCAGTTGTGGGGGCCAATTGCTCCATCCCTTTCCTCCTTGGGAAAACTGTTCTAGAGCAGCCATTTGTACAACTTTTTTTTTTTAGATGGAATCTCTGTCACCTAGGCTGGAGTTCAGTGGCACCATCTCAGCTCACTGCAACGTCTGCCTCCTGGGTTCCTACCTCCACCTCCCGAGTAGCTGGGATACTTGCACCCACCACCACACCGAGCTAATTTTTGTATCTCTAGTAGAAATGGGGTTTCCCCATTTTGGCCAGGTCTCCAACTCCTGACCTCAAGTGATCTGCCTGCCTCAGCCTCCTAAAGTGCTAGGAATACAGGCATGAGCCACTGCGCCCTGTCATTTCTATAGCTTTAATAGCCTCTGGGGTGCCCCATTGGGAGCAAGTGGTGTAAACATTTAGTTACCAATTTGAGTGGAGAAAGTCCCATGTAGAGAGTGGTTAGATTTCTCCATGGGATCAAATGTGGCTTTTTTTTTCTTTTTCAGAGACAGGATCCCACTCTGTTGCCCAGGCTGAAGTACAGTAATGTGATTACAGCTCATTGCAGCCTCAAACTCCTGAGCTCGAGCAATCCTCCAGTATCAGCCTCCTAACTAGGGATAGGCGGTGTCACCACACCCTGCTAACTAAAAAAAAATTTGTGGCTGGGTACGGTGCCTCACACCTATAATCCCAGCACTTTGGGAGGCTGAAGAGGGCGGATCATGAGGTCAGGAGATCGAGACCATTCTGGCCAACATGGTGAAACCCCATCTCTACTATAAATACAAAAAATTAGCCAGGCGTGGTGGTGTGCCCCTGTAGTCCCAGCTACTTGGGAGGCTGAGGCAGGGGAATCGCTTGAACTCAGGAGGTAGAGGTTGCAGTGAACTGAGATTGCACGACTGCACTCCAGCCTGGGCGACAGAGCGAGACTTCGTCTCAAAAAATTAAAAAATAAATGTAGAGATGGGGGTCTCACTTTGTTGCCCAGGCTGGTCTCAAACTTCTGGGTTCAAGTGATCCTCAGCCTGGCCTCTCACAGTGCTGGGATTACAGGTGTGTGCCACCTCGCCCAGCCCAAATATGGGTTTTGGTAAGAACTGTCTTTGCTGTAATCCCTGGAACTCTGATGGCTCACTGTGGGAAGCCAATGTTGCAATTGTTACAGAGCACAGTACTCATTTCCATTGAGTGTGATGCAAAACTGGTCGTTGGTATTGCGAGGTTAAGTTAGGAAAGAATTCCTAAACTGGTTGTAATCCCTGATATTGTAGACATGCCTTGGTGCAGATAACTTGGTGTAATGTGCATAGCTTTGTTTGTATATGTTGAAGAGGCCAGGGAGAGGCTTCATGGAAAGATGCCCTTGGCCACTTGGTTAGTGCAATTTCTTTCTCAGCAAGTGGGGCTGGCACTGGAGGGGGACAGAGATCACTATGAGAAGTAGAAAAAGAGGCCAGGAGTTGAAAGGGTGTACACTGGAGGCGGGGTTTACACTTTTCATCACCCCAGGGATTTGTAAGAGCTGGAATTTGATCTCTCTAATCCTTAGGGTTTGCTGGTATTGGCTGGATTCAGCATTTTTCCTTTGATTGCACCAGAAAGGAGCAGTGTCAGGTGCATAGTATCTCTGGGCATGCCTTCAATGAGACTCTATAGGTGTGGCCCATTGCTCCGTTTGATGGCAGTTGTTAATAATGGTTTTATTGGATGTGAGGCAAAAGTTGCACTATACGACTTACCAGGCACCCAAGATTCACAAGTGGTGTCTGAGTCTGGCTTAGTTGGAACAGGTGCTGGTTTCGGTAGCAGAGAGAAGGGGAGGCATGCTAGCCTCAGGGTTGATTTCCGGTTGTGTTAATAGGAATGACCAGCTCAAATAGTCAACAGTGTGGTTCCCATCATCCTCAGATGCCCCGTGTCATGTGTTACCCCGTGGGGTGCATGTGAAATGTATTTCCAGACATACCTTGGTCAGCAGTAGCGTGTAGATGACCAGGGTAGGGTGAACCATCAGTGGATGTGTACTTGACACTGGCGAAGGTACCAGCTTCTCAGGTAAGAAAAGGGCACAGCAACACAATAGGGGTTAAAGTCAGAGGTCATCTGTGGCCAGGAGTAGGGATTGGATTGTCCCTTGGGTATCACTCAAGTGGCATTAGTGGTTTGGAGGGATAAACCGTTTGGGTGTGGGGAACAGGTCCAGCTGTGTCCTATGGTACCTTCAGTGGAGGACATGGGTCGTGGGATGAGGGCATCTCTCTCTGCAGATGCCTGCTCCACAGGGTGAGGAGACACAGGCTGAGGATGGTCCTAGTGGGTGGTCCTCATGAGATCCTCATCGGGATTGAAGGGAAGTGGCTCGGCCCCGTACTTTCCAGGAGGGAGGAGGTAAAGATGAAAGTACCAGCTGGAAGTTCCTTTGCTCTAACAACGCTGGGCTCCCATGTCTTGTGAAAGCCAGTAACTGTCTCTGGTGTGGGCTTGTACACCAGCAGGGGTGACAATGTCCTGCTAGTGGTCTCTTCATCTATTGTGAATTTCAATATGGTGTAGTCATGGCATAGGCATGTGGCATAATGATCAGGCCTATGGGCAGTACTTTCTTCTTACCACTTGAGGGGCCATTTTCCTACAGATTCTCTCTCAATAACATGAATAGAGGTGGCTGCCTTGCGTGGGTAAGCCGATAGATGCCTGTGTAGGTATCCACCACTGTTCAGGTGTATTTCACGGTTCCAGCTGCTGCAGGGAGATGCCCAAGGAGTCAGTTTGCCAGTTTTGATGTAGCCCTTCTCTCTAAATTTTTCCTCCCATGTGGTGGCCCCAATGTCTGGATTGCTGGCGCTGGTACGGTCCCCAATGACTTTGTTTAAATGTCCCTCTGCTGGGTCAACTCCTCTCTTCACAACCCATTTTCACAACCTCGTGGTGCCCAAGTGCCTTGATCTCATGTGCCCGTTGGTAGAAGAAGTCAGATGGCTTGTTCCCAGGGACCGAGGACTCGCCCTCCTTCGCAGCCCTGACTGCTTCGCTGGTTTTGTTAGCTTGTTCTTGGCATGATATTGCACCTCCTCCGCATCTTGCTTAATGTTAGCAAAGGTACGGTGCACAACCATAGGCAGAGCAGGGCGAATTCGGCAATTTACAGCCCCCATCTCTTTATCCCAAGTGTCTGGGTCTTGTATTTTCAACCTTGGTTTTGCCAACGCCCCAACTATGTAGTCAGCCCATTAGCCTCTGACCTGGAGTCAGTGAAATACCTTGGGGGCATGTTTGCCAAGAGCATGGTCTGTTGCTAGGAGTAGTGCACGCAGCTCAGCCCGCATGGAAACTGGACTGGTTGACTGAGGTTCCGGGCTGCGGGTGTCATTGCCTGGCTCCCGTATTGCCCATGTGCCTCCATCTGTAAAGAAAAGGTGTTGCTTTTCTTGTTTTGAGAGTGCTGTGGTCTTCCTCCTTCTGGTCTCCTCGAGCAAGGGGTGGAGGCATTTCTTTTTCTTTTCTTTTCTTTTCTTTTTCATTGTACTTTAGATTCTGGGATACATGTGCAGATCATGCAAGATTGTTACATAGGTACATTCATGGCAAGGTGGTTTGCTGCCTGGAGGCGGAGGCATTTCTAGGGTTTGGCAAGTTTTCCTCCCCAGCAGGTTATGTGGCAATTTGCTCATGGGCTTGTGGCACTCCAGGAGGGCAGAGTTTAGTTGGAGCCCGTGGAGCCCATTTCTATTTTGATCAGGGGCTTCTGTTGCGGATTCAGTTTTAGGGGGAGCTTTCCCATTGTGCCGGCCAGACTAGGAATCTCAGTGTACAGAGTGGTGGACTGTGTCCCAGGAAGGGCCTCTGTTTCCTGAAGTGCCCAGGGTGCCGTCAGGTGGTGTCTCTCTCGAGGCGAATACCTTTGGGCTGAGGCTGGCAGCTGCCTACAGAAGCCCATGGGTAGGTGCTCGCCTGTGCATTTGGGGCTGATGCTTCGGGAAGCAAATTTGGAGGGATGTTCTTACTGTGGGTCCTATCGTCGGGGCAGGTGGGAAAGATGACGTAACAGCCTCCATGTGTTTATGTGGCCTCTGTTGCTCAGGTCCCGGCTGGAGAGTGGAATAGGTAAGGGAGACTCTACAGATAGCTCCTAGAAAATATTGGAAGTGGGGAATGTGGTGGCACCGGAATCCAAACCTGCCTGCCACAGTTGGGTGTCCTTGCCAGTGTGGGAGGCTGTACCTCTGGGACTTGTCTTTTTTATTTTATTTTATTTTTTATTTGTAAGATGGAGTCTCTGATGCCCAGGCTGGAGTGCAGTGGTGTGATCTCGGCTCACTGAAACCTCCACCTCCCAGGTTCAAGTGATTCTCCTGCCTCATCCTCCTGAGTAGCAGGGATTACAGGTGCCTGCCACCCCATCAGGGTAATTTTTTGCATTTTTAGTAGAGACGGGGTTTCACCATGTTGGCCAGGCTGGTCTCGGACTCATGACCTCGTGATCCTCCTGCCTCGGCCTCCCAAAGCGCTGGGATTACAAGCATGAGCCACCGCACCCAGCCAGAGCTTGTCTTTTACAGGATAAAGGACAGTTTACCCTTCTGAGTACCACACATAGCCCCTGAATTCAACAGACTGGGAGGAGCCTTGGACCTTATGGAGGGGCAGCTGCCCATCCGCTCGCAGTGAAGTGCTTACTCAGGACTGCGATCGCTGTGGGACAGCATGGTGGTCTGTTTCAGTGAGGAGGATGTTGTGGATGTGATGGCAAAGACGAACTGTGCTGGGGGAGTGGGCAGCCCATGTGCAATCAGGGGCAGGGCGGGGGGTACAGAACGACCCCAGGGTCAACCAGTGCAAAGTGTCCTGTTGGCCCCAAAAGGGGAAGGCGATTGTGGTGAGTCTCCTGGGACTCACCATTTTTATGGAACAGAACATGTCAGCAGAGTCTTTAGCTCCAAACTATTTAGCCAGGTTGTTTTGAATGTGGCTTAAGGCGACGATGTCTGGCCAGAAGCGCTCCAAGCCAGGGGACAGCCTTGTGTAAGGCTCCGTAGTCTGGAGTTCGCCTCACTCTTTAGTAGTGGCTTTCAGCACCACTCATACCAGGGAGCTGGAAGGCGAGATGGTAGGAGGTCGTTCCCCTTCCCTAACCAAGTCAGCGCAGCAGGCCTTGCCTCAGCTGCTGTGGGGCAAGTGGACCCCGACATTCGCAGGGGAAGCGGCTTGGTTAACCCGCTCCCACCCGGCAGCAGCGGCGCTCAGGAGCCTTAGGCTATTCCCTGAGCTCACCCTCTGACTGAGAGGGCCCGTTCCAGTGATGGGACACGGGGCGGATTGGGGACAACAACCAGGACAAAAACGTCTTTTAGCAACCCTGGGCCAACTGGAATGGGAAGTGGGTGATGATGCTTTCCTGGCTCCTCCTCCCCAGCGGGCCACCTCCTGGGGAGGGCCCTTTAAATTTGAATGCTGCCTGGGATGAGGGAGATTCCAGCACCCTTGTTGAGAGCCCGCCCGGGGCATTCATTTGCCAGAGAGCAAACGTCAGTTAATGTGGTAAAGGGTGATCATCTGCCCGAGGGGCTGCTTCCCATGGGATCTGTGTGGGGCGGGCCCCTGTCATTGGCAGAGATCAAGGCAGGTGCTGAAGGCTAGGCTGCCTCGGAAGCAGGGGCCTGCCACGCCGCCCCCCACCCCGGCTCCTGCTGTGTTGTTCCACCGATTTATCAGAGCACTTCGCATTTGGGATCCTCTTGTCCCTTAGGACTCCAAACAACCTGTGATGGTGAATTTTATGTGTCAACTTGCCTGGGCCACAAGGGTGCCCACACACTGGGTCAAACTGTTCTGGGTGTGGCTATGAGGGTGTTTCTGGGTAAGATTAACCTTTCTCTGGAAGACTGAGTGAAGCTGACCTCCCTCCCGGATGTGGGGTCCCCTGCCCAGTCAGTTGAAGGCCTGAGTAAAACAAGACCGCTGACTCCGTGAGTCAGAGTCAGCCCCTCCTCCTGCCTGACTGCAGGGGCTGAGACGCCATTTATTCCCGCCTTAGAGCATGAACAGAAACGTCAGCCCTTCCTCGGCCTCAGGCCTGCTGGTCGTTACACTGGACCTGTGCCACCCACTCTCCTGGGTCCCCAGCTCACCAACTACAGGTCTTGGGACTTGTGGGCCTCTGGATCGGTGTGGGCCAATTCCTTATAATAAATCCTGTATATCTCCTCATAGACGTAGACGCATCACCTCCTATTTGTTCTGTTGCTCTGCAGAACCGTGACTAACAGATGACATCTTCCGTGCATCTCAGGGTTCCCGCTCAACCGGGGGCCTGGCTGCTGGTGGTTCATTCGGACTAGGAGGGGGCGGCCTCGCTGGTGATGCTCCTTGTGATTTGGGCCAGGTGGGGCATTGTTTTCACGATTGCAGGCAACACTGGGCTGAGTTTGTCCACCATGGGTTTCTATTCCACCCAGGGCAGCCATGGACTGGTGGGTTGTTTAGCCTTAGCTGTCACTGACAGGAACAGGACTTGTGCTTGTCAGGCCCCCCTGAGAAGCTACCATGGACTAAGCACTCCATTCAGCCTCCTCGGGGTACAGAGTCCTCACGCCGCGCCATCTGCCGCCAGATAATCCCGCTGGAATGTGCCGAGCTGATGGAGGACATCTTCGGCCTCAGCTAGCGTTCTCCATCACCGTTCTGCCCGGCGGGTTATGAGGCCTCATATAGGGTGGGCAGCTCTCCAAGCCACCACAATTCACAAAAATGCAAAATCCACTCCGACCAGGTGCACATGGACTGCGGTGCAAAGCCTCCTGGGGGCCACTCCCAGCTTCTGCACTAGTTGTGCAGAATCCTTTAGTAGGGAAGCCACTCTTCCATCCTGTCCTGGGGCAGCCAAGTGATTCACTTCAGCCCCTGTCAGGTGGATCTTGCTGTGCTCTGTTGGATACGTTCTCTGTAGCCAGACAGCTGCTTTTTCATTTGGTTCCTGGGTTAGGTTCTTAAGGACAGGCAGGGCCTCTGGTTGAGACAGAGGGTGTCTCCTCCTCCAGATAGGACATGGCTTCACCTTCTTGATCCTCCCCTGTTGTGTCTTTTGCATGTTTTCGGGCAAAGGACAGGGTCAATTTCCTCTGTCATGGTGGTATTGAGCTTCCTCATCCTCTAGAGGGCGCCAGTCCTCTTCTCCGGGGTCCTCTCCGCCTTTTGCTCTCCTCTGATGAAAGAAATCTGTATGACCACAAGGTGGCGTAGCACAATAAAGGTTATTTGCTAACCCGGCTCAGATTAGACAGCCAGGCTCGATGTGGCTAGTATGAATGAGAGACTTACCCTCTTGGCCGCGTTCTGGCGAGAAGCAGCTGTGAGCAAGCCCAGCATGGGTCCCCTGGCTTGGATTCAAGAGGATAGCCACCTCCTTTTGAGTCCTGGTTGGGACAGCAATATAAACATCTCATCTTTATTCACATGAAGTGACAGTTTTGTTCCACCTCAATAAATCTGGGGTCTTGATACTGCCCCGGAAAGGAACAGAAATGATGTCATCTGTAATAGCAAATACAAATGCGACAAGAAGAGAGGCATGCTAGCTGTTTACAAAAGAGCCTCCCCAGCTGTGCTTAGGGGATCGACATCAGCCCGACGTCGCTGCTTTATAGCCTTGTTCACGTGTCATATGCGTCTCACTCTCATAGAGTACCCTATATCACAGGGCCAACTAACAGGGCTCCTCCCACTCTAGCCAGTCATGGGGTCAGGGTAGCCCATCCTCAGTCCAGAGATGTGTACTCCCCCCACCTTTTGTGTTCAGGTCCACAGGACTTATAGGTCCTGTGGGTGCCCCAGCAGTTCCCTGCCTAGTGGAGCCCCAGGTGGGCAGGGTGACCTTCTTCCTCAGGCAGTTCCATACCTGATCCCACGGATTCATTCAAATACTGGTGTTACTGCTTGGCCAGGCTAGTGAAGCACAGAGAAAACCCACAAATGTAGAGTGTGTAACAGCACAGAGCAATCCCATGCCAAACCGATGCAATGGGATTCCAAGTTTTGAGTTCCACCGCTCGAAACCATCCAGGATTGTGTTACCAATTAACTATCCTACTGGCCCCTATCTATTTCATGATTACCAGAAATCCTTCCCTTTTCCTCATCACTTATAGGGAGTTTGAGCGATTTAGGGCGCTGATGAAGGAAATATATGACCACAAGGTGGCGTAGCACAATAAAGGTTATGGGGTGATTCTTTGACAAGTTTGCATGAAGTCCCTCACCACAGGAGTCTGTTCAGAGGTATGGCCACTGGTCAGGTATTCGGAAGGGGAGAATGGCAAGGGAACTGCTGGGCTGTCAAGAGGGGGGCTTATTTGTCTAGGTGATGTCACTCGGCAGCAAAGAGAAGAGTCTCTGGGTCAGAGAACTCTGAAGGGCCACAGCAGCAGCTTTGGGTATTTTATGGCCTGGGGCTCAATTTATCTATTCCCCAAAGATGAAAGATGTAGTGTCAGGTTTTGTCATGTATGTAAAGCAGGAAGGCTCTCAATGGCTAAAAATCTGTTTGTTTGGGCTATTTATGAAATAAGTATGAAATAATTGGGTGCGTAAAATAATTATGAAATAATTGGGTGTGTAAAACATTGTGTGGCACCAGCAAGCTTTTGAGTTAAGGGGTCTCAGCCTGCAGTGAAGAAATAAACAACCTGGGGATCAATACATAGAGGTCATTTTGACTCATTCATATAACAGTGAAGCCATTATCTATCCTATCTGGTCCTTAGAAATTCTGGCATAAAAGTTTAAGGGCAAAGAGTTATAGGAACAAGATAAGGCTGCCTGCATTTGCCACTTCTATTAAAGATTGTACTCAAAGTTCTAGCCAGATAAATTTTCAGGCAAAAGAAAAAAAATAAAAGGTGCCCAAATTAGAAGAAAAGTAAAACTACTTCTGTTCCTAAATGACATGATTTTTTATACATAGAAAATCCTAAAGAATCCACAAAAAAGTATTAGAACTCATAAACAAATCCTGCAAAATGGCACAATACAAGATCAATACACAACTATCAATTGCATTTCTATACACTATTGATGAAAGCCAAAATGGAAATTAAGAAAACAATTCTGTTTATGATAGGATAAAAATAATAGAATACTGAGAAATAAAGTTAGCCAAGAAGATGTAAGACTTGTACAAAACATTACTGAAAGAATGAAGGCCAGGTGCAGTGGCTCACACCTGTAATCCCAGAAGTTTGGAAGGCCGAGGTGGGTGGATCCCCTGAGGTCAGGAGATCGAGACCATCCTGGCCAACATGGTGAACTCCCGTCTCTACTAAAAATACAAAAATAAACTGGCATGGTGGCACATGCCCGTAATCCCAGCTACTTGGGAGGCCGAGGCCTGAGAATTGCTTGAACAGGGGAGGCGGAGGTTACAGTGAGTGGAGATCATGCCATTAAACTCCAGCCTGGGTGACAGAGCCTTATTTTTTTAAAAAAAGTAAGTAAAGAAAACTAAATAAAAGGAAAAACTAAAAAATAAAGCTAAATAAAAGGAAAGTGTTCGTAGATTGGACAACTTGACATTGTTAAGATGGCAATACTCCTCAAAGCAATCTACAGAGTCAATGTAATCTCTAACAAAATCCCAAAGCCCTTTTGTGCATAAAGGGGAAAGCTAATCCTAAAATTTATATAGAGTTGCAAGGGTGCCTGGATAGCTAAAACAATCTTGAAAAAGAACAAAGTTGGAAGATTGACACTTCCCTATTTCAAAAACTTACTGCAAAGGTACAGTAATCCAAACAGTGTGGTGCTGGCACCAGGATAAACATACAGATCAATGGAATAGAATTGAAAGTCCAGAAAAAAACCCATGCAGCTAAAATGATTTTTGATTAGGGTGCCAAAATCATTTAATGGGGGAAAGGATAGTCCCTTCAATAGATGGCCCTGGAAAAAATAGATATACACATGTTAAAGAATGAAGTTGTACCATGACCCCATACCACATATAAAAATTGACTCAAAATGGATCAAAGACCTAAATATAAGAAATAAAACTATAAAATAACTAGAGGAAAATGAAGGAATCCATCTTCATGACTTTGGACTTGGCAATTGTTTCTTAGATATGATACTAAAAGCATAAGGAACAAAAGAAAAAATGAATAATTGGACTTAATAAAAATGAAAACTTTTGTGTATCAAATGACATTATCAGGAGAATGAAAAGACAACCTAGAGAGTGGGAAAATTATAATCTGAATAGAGTTTAGTATCCAGAATATATAAAGAATTCTTACAATCTAACAATCAAAAAATCCCCAGTTAACACTGGGCAAAGGACTTGAATAGATTATTTTTCAAAAGAAGATATACATGATATACACATGACCAATAGGCTCATGAAAAGATTTGTCATTAGTCATCAGGGAAATTCAAATCAAAACCACAATTAGATACCACTTTACATCTGCTAGGATGGCTGCAATGAAAACCAACAAAACAACAAGTGTTGGAGAGGATGTGGAGAAATTGGAAGCCTAATACACTGTTGGTTGGAAAGAAAAATGGTGCAGCCACTGTAGGAAACAGTTTGGTGGTGCCTCAAAAAGTTAAACATAGAAATACCGTATGATCCAACAATTCCACTCCTAGTTATATACTAATACAGTGGGAAACAGGTAGTTATTCAAACAAAAACTTAAATATGAATGTTCATAGCAGCCCTATTCATAATAGCCAAAAGGTAGAAACAACTCAAATATCTTACAATTGGTGAGTGGATAAAGCAAATATGGTATAGTATATCCATACAATGGAATATTATTCAGCCGCAGAAAGGAATGAAGTACTGTCATATGCTACTGCATGGATGAACCTTGAAGACATTATGCTCTGTGAAAGAAGCCAGACAGAAAAGACCACATAGCGTATGATTCTGCTTATATGAAATATCCATAATAGGCAAATCTATAGCACCAGAAAGCAGATTAAGTGGTAGCCAGGAGCAGGGGTGAAAGGGGCTAGGAAATGATTGCTTAATGGGGATGGGGTTTCCTTTTGGGGTGGTGAAGAAGGTCTGGAATTAGATAGTGATAATGGTTGCACAACACTGTGAATGTCCGAAATGACACTGAATTGTACACTGTAAAATAGTTAAAATAGTTTCATGTTATATATTTTTTACCACAATAAAAACAGGTGTTTATATGGGGTACAAGATGCGTGAATGGTGGCCATAAGGCAGAATGAATGAAAGCAAATAGCAGTGTGACTGAATGGGGGGAAATTGGGGGCACTGTGGGAGAGAATAGATGTGAATGATTGGTAGAGTGGGAAGGAAGGGGAGTCATGAGGGGTAGAGTGAGCTGGAAGGGGGCTGACGGTGTTACTTTATATCTGAGTGGGTCCTGTGCTCCTGGAAAGCAGTCATGGTTATGAAATTCTCACCACCCTCGCCTCCCTTTGGTGTTCCAGCAAAGGGCTAACTGCAAAAGTCCCTGGATTACCTGCTTGGGCTGCCGTAACAAAATGCCACAGGCTGGCTGGGTTAAACCAGAAGTTTATTGGGCTTAGTTCTGGAGGCAGGAAGAAGTCCAAGATGAAGGGACCAGCTGATTTGGTTCCTGGTGAGGGCTCTCTATAAAAAAAGCCATAAAGCTTGCAGACAACTGGCTTCTTACTGTGTTCTCACATCACCTCTTTTTTGTGGAAATGGAGACAGCAAAATGGAGTGAGCAAGCTCTCGGACGTCTGTTTATATAAGGGCACTAATCCCATTAGACCAAGGCCCCATTGCATGACCTCATATAGCCTTCATTACCTCCCAAAGGTCCATCCTCAAATATCATCACATTGAGAGTTTGGGTTTCGACTTATGAATTTTTGGGGGGGATGGGGCGCAATTCAGTCCATAGTAGTCCCTAATGTATTTGCATATTCTGAGATAAGACCTATCTCTATCTGTCCTGATGACTCTTTTGCTTACCTGCCTCTATACAACCTGAGGTCTCCTTCCTTCGGGAATGTTCCTCATTAATGAAAGTTTTCCCTATTTCAATAGCCTGAAAGGGCTCACCTGTGCATTTTCTTTCAGGTGATCAGTTGGTAGAATGTGATTAATAAGGCAGAGTGGTTGAGGTCCGCAACCTGATCACTGTCTCCTGTTTATTCCCCCTAGGCCTTAGGGGGGCCCCATAGGACTGGGACCCTGGAATCTTCGCCCTCTCAAATCTCTCCGCAACAGGTTCCCAGGAGGTCGATGGAATGAATGTAGGACTGGTGGGGTCACCACCAGATTTGCCTGGCTTCTTACCTAGTCTCCGACTAAGATTCCACCTCACCCGGACCCCTTTATCCCTGGTCGTCTGTCTCCAAGTCTCCCTGCGCCTATATTTACCAACTTCACTTTCTTCGTTTCTTTCTCCAAGAACAGATTGTACCACACCTCCCTATTTGCACCAGTGGTATCTCCCAAGGCGGACTGTACCAACCTGTGCCTTCGCCACAGCTAGCTTAATAGTATCTATCTCCCTACTGTTATTTTCTTGAGAGGACTACCACCTTCACACGTTCTCCCCTTCTCCCTAGTGATACTTACCGGTAGAGGAATGTATTATCACCAACTCTGCATCCCTTCTCCCCGGTAATAGTTCCCAGGGAGGTCCGTACCATTTCAGGCCTCCCCCATCTCCGCAATGGCATCTCCCGGCGGGCGGCGAGGGGTGGGGTGGGGGGGTGGTCTGTGGTCCTGAACTCTGCATTTTTACATACCCGTTCTCTTGAAACTCCCCAGACACGCGCATGATTTGCCAGCTTTGCACAAAGGGCCCCAGTTTTATAGCCAAGTTTTCAAAGTCCTCTCGGAGTTCTATCTTTTCCAAACTTTAAGAGGGATATTACTCTCCTGTACGAAATGGTAAGGGCTGTAAAGATGCCCGCCCCCTTGACACGCTGGTTTACTGGCACGGCCATTTTTCTGGCCAGCCAAAGACGTACAATCATTGCAGCAAAGGAACAAAAAACTTCTGGTGTTCTATAGCACTGTTCGATGTGTATAGTTAGCAATAATTTGTTGTACATTTTCAAATACCTAGGAGAAAGGATTATGAATATTTCCAACACAAAGAAATGATAAATATTTGAGGTGACGCACATGCTAATTACCCTGATTTGATCATTACACATTGTATGTATGTATTGAAATATCACTCTGCACCCCACAAATGTGTACAATTACATTTTTTTTAATCCTTAAAGAAAACCACAAAACAACTTTGGCTGCTAGCGTTGATGACTTTAGAAACGGCTATTGCGCATAAGTAAGTATAGTGACCTGCAGTGCCTAACGCAGGGTAAAGGTCAAACAGGTAGCTGTTGGAGGAAGTTGTGACTGATTTTGGAAACACATGGGGACCTTGCCCGAATAAGAATTCGGATCTTAACATCAGAGCAGGGTGTGAGGAGGGGTAGAGTTCACACAGAACGGAAGTGAGAGGGCTGGTGGTCTGTGGGCAGAGTCGTTATTTAACCTCTTTGTACCTTAGTTTCCCTAACTGTAAAATGGGCATGATGATGTTAATGATAATGATAATAATAATACCTACCTTGTATGCTTGTTGTGTAGATCGGTTGAGTCAATATAAGTGTTTACAACAATGCCTGGCACATACGTAAGTCTTATATATGAATTTAATAATATTATTATACTATTATTAATACTGTAAAATGGATATATATAAACTGATAAAAAAGAATAGGGAAGTAGAGCAAAACCAGGGCCAGATTGAACGGTCTAGATGTAGATCGTAGGATTCTGTATAATTATGTCGAGCTGCAGTTATTGTTCTGAACTTCCTAGAAGCCACACATAGAGGGAAAAAAACTCATTTGCTTTGTTTATCTCACCCATACATAGAAAGTAAGTCACTTCCTCAGAAGCAAATATTTCCTTAATAAGACAGTTCTCTGATGCATCAGCCAAGTCCTCATCAGCAATTTTGTGATAAATACAGGGATAGGATTGCTCTGCTGTGACTGAAAATATGTCTTCATGTCAACCAAAGGTGTCCTGCTGAAACAGAACTAAAAAGACCTGACTCTTCAGGAAATCAAAGCCATGTCTGCTCAAATAACTCTTATGTTCTGGCTCAATATGTGGATAAAACCTTGATCATCAGGAAGAATCAGTAAACCCCATGTCCTTCAAATTCTTTTCTGATCTATATGTAGTTTTTCCTCATCTGGGGTTTCAGTACAGACTGAGCAACCCAAAGGTCTGCTCTTTTCCTTTCTAAGCTCAGAATTCATGATGTCCCTAAGCATTTTCAGTACTTTCCCTTCTGCCCTTTTTAAGAAAGTCTATTATTATTTTGTCATTTTTTCTCTTCCTACAGAAGAGAAGTGGCACACCAAAAATCCAAACCCTTGAGGAATATACAATCTAAAAGGGGAAATTAACTCATAATCTCATATCACCACTCATTCCAGATAACCAATTTCTGATAAATTTGGTTAATTTCCGCCTATATACCTCTCTCTCCCCCTTGTTCTTTCTCTTTATATTTACATACACATATATGTGTATGTGAATGTCTTCCTTTTGCCAAAACCTGCTCATTATGCAAAACTGGTTTGCAATTCCTTTTTTTCTTTCCAGAATAATATCAATAATCGTCATAGTCGTAATGATAATGATAATATAATTGAAGATAATGATCATAAAAGTGACACAACAGGAGCTGACACGTAGTGAGCTCACATTGGCCCTGACACCGTACTAAACATTATATATGCATGATCACTTTTAATTCTCACAATAACCTTGGGAAGTAGGTACCATTTTTATCTACTTCTTACAGATAAGGAAGCTGAGTACCAGAGTGGATAAGCAAATGACATGGGCTTGCACAGCTGCTCACTGGCGTAGTTGGGATAGCCCCTATTCAATGAACACTTGTTGATGGAAGGTATTTCAGTATTAGGACATAGAGATATTTTGAAGAGATGATTTTTTTCTTGTATTCATGTACCATGATTTATTAATCGGCCCCATCTGAAGGACTTTCATGTCATTTCTGCTACAGTGTGGCAGTGATCTCCCTTGTCATCTATCTTTTCCTTCAGCTTTTATTTTAGCTTCAAGGATACATGTGCAGTTTTGTTATGTAAGTAAACTCATGTTACAGGGGTTTGTTGTACAGATTATTTCGTCACCAAGGTACTAAACCTAATACCCAATAGTTATTTTTTCTGATCCTCTCCCTCTTCCCACCCTCCATCCTCGAGTAGGCCCCAGTGTCTGTTACTCCCCTTTGTGTCCATGAGCTCTCATCATTTAGCTCCCACTTATAAGTGAGAACATGCTGTATTTGGTTTGGGCTGTGTTAGTTTGTTAAGGATAATGGCCTCCAGCTCTATCTATGTTGCGCATAGGACATGATCTTGTTCTTTTTAAAATTGTTACTATTTTTTGTAGAGAAGCGGTCTTGCTATGTTGTCCAGGCTGGTCTTGAACTCCTGGGCTTACATGGACCTCCCACCTCGGCCTCTCAAAGTGCTTGGATTACAGGTGTGAGCCACCGCATCTGGCCTGATCTTGTTCTTTTTGATGGCAGCATAGTATTCCATGGTGTATATGTGCCACATTTTCTTTATCCAGTCTATCATTGGTGGGCATTTAGGCTGATTCCATGTCTTTGCTATTCTGAATAGTGCTGCAATGAACATATGCATGCATGAGTCTTTATGGTAGAACAATGTATATTCCTTCGGGTATATGCCCAGTAATGGGATTGCTGGGTTGAATGATAATTCTTGTTTCAGCTCTTTGAGGAATCGCCACACTGCTTTTCACAGTGGTTGAATTAATTTACATTCCCACCAACAATGTATAAGCATTCCCTTTTCTCTACAGCCTCAGCAACATCTGTTATTTTTTATCTTGTCATTTCTCTTTGTACACAGTGGTGAGCATTTCCAGAATGTCTGGTTCAAAAGCTGGGCACGTTTTGAACTTTCATAGACACCGCCAAATTGCCTTTTGCAACGTTAGAACAAGTTGACATCCTCCACTAATAATGAATGAAAATACCCTTTCTTATCTTCTTCTCATGGTTTTAATCCTTGCCATTTGAGAGTTGAAAATATCTCATTTCTTTTGTGTGTGTTTGTCAATGAGGTTGAGTATGTTTTAATTAATTTTTCTTTTTATATTTCTTTTTTTTCTGGTCTATATGGTAAATGTTTTTTTGTTGTTTTTTTTTTAATTTTTTATTGGATTTTAGGTTTTGGGGTACATGAGCAGAGCATGCAAGACAGTTGCGTAGGTACACACATGGTAGTGTGCTTTGCTTTTCTTCTCCCCTTCACCCACATTTGGCATTTCTCCCCAGGCTATCCCTCCCCACCTCCCCCTCCCACTGGCCCTCCCCTTTTCCCCCCAATAGACCCCAGTGTTTAGTACTCCCCTTTCTGTGTCCATGTGTTCTCATTTTTCATCACCTTTATATTTCTTTTGTGAATCATTCTTTCACATATGCTACTTTTTTTCCTGTGGGATTTTAAAACCTTTCTCTTATTATTTTTTTTTTTGAGACAGAGTCTTGCTCTGTTGCCCAGGCTGGAGTGCAATGACAATCTTGGGTCACTGCAATCTCTGCCTCTCGGGTTCAAGCGATTCTCCTGCCTCAGCCTCCAAAGTAGCTGGGATTACAGGCATGCACCACCACATCCAGCTGATATTTTTTGGATTTTTGGTAGAGACAGGGTTTCACCATGTTGAGCAGGCAGAGCTCGAACTTCTGACTTCAGATGATCTACCTGCCTCAGCCTCCCAAAGTGCTGGGATTACAAATGTGAGCCCCCACGCCTGGCATTTTTTTTTTTTTTTTTGAGACAGAGTCTCGCTCTGTTGCCTAGGCTGGAGTGCACTGGCATGATCTTGGCTCACTGCAACTTCTGCCTTCTGGTTCAAGTGATTCTTCTGCCTCAGGCTCCCGAGCAGCTGGGATTATAGGCACGTGCCAACACGCCTGGCTAATTTTTGCATTTTTAGTAGAGATGGGTTTTCACCATGTTGGCCAGGCTGGTTTCGAACTTCTGGCCTCATGTGATTTGCCAGCCTCGGTCTCCCAAAGTGCTGGGATTACAGGTGTGAGCCACTGTACCTGGCCCTCTTACTGTTTTTTTTTTTTTTTTTTAAACCTTTTATGGAAAACTAGCTTAGATAAAAATCTGTTGGGTCAGACTTTTAATTAAATCAGAATATACACAGGAAAATGTATAAAATAAATGGTTTAATGAATTTTTGCCAAGTGAAAACACCTTTGTAACCCGTACCTGGATAAAAGCAGGAAATGAAAAGCCACCCAGAAGCCTTCATCATGCCACTTCCAATCACTCTCTCTTGATTTATGGCTAATGACTTTCTGATATCTGTCACCATAGATTTTTTTGCCAGTTCTTAAATGTCATATAAATGGAATCACACATTATTCTTTTGGGTCTGGCTTCTTTTACTTACCATAATATTTTGAGATCCATCCTTCTTATTTCATTTGTCAGGAGTTTGTTCTTTTTTCATACTATTCACTATTCCATTGTATAAATATATCACAATGGTTAATCCATTCCCCTGCTGGTGGATATTCCATTTTAGCTATTAGAAATAATGTGTCTATGAATATTCTTGTGCATGTCTTGGGGAACATATGTGTGCATTTCCATTGGTTATATACCTAAGACTGGAATTGCTGGATCCTAGGTTAGGTGTATCATTTACCTCTTGCAGATGAGATAAGTCAGATAAACTAACTTAGATGTTAGGTTAGATGTTCAGCTTTAGTAGATTCTACCAATCTGTTAAGTGCCTACACTATTTTACTTCCACCAACAATGTATGAGAGCTTCAGTTGCTCTACATCCTGCCAACATTTGGAAGGAGACTGGAAGGGTAGCAGATCCAGGATTTAGAGGAAGAGGGAAGAAGGACTCATATAGCAAAGAGCCAGGCCAGGCGTGGTAGCTCACGCCTGTAATCCTAGCACTTTGGGAGGCCAAGGTGGGTGGATCACCTGAGGTCAGGAGTTCGAGACCAGCCTGGCCAACATGGTGAAACCCCATCTCTACTAAAAATACAAAAATTGGGCTCGGTGCTGTGGCTCATGTCTGTAATCCCAGCACTTTGAGAGGCTGAGGCAGGTGGATCACGAGGTCAGGAGTTCAAGACCAGCCTGACTAACATGGTGAAACCCTGTCTCAACTAAAAATACAAGAATTAGTTGGTTGTGGTGGCGTGTGCCTGTAATCTCAGCTATGCAGGAGGCTGAGGCAGCAGAATCGCTTGAACGTGGGAGGCGGAGGTTGCAGTGAGTTGAGATCATGCCACTGTACTCCAGCCTGGGCGACAGAGCGAGACTTGGTCTCAACGGAAAGCTGAAGGTTGTTGGTCATATTTTTTGTTTTCTTTTGCCATGTAGTGATATCTAATTGTGGTTTAAGTTTGCCTTTCTCTGATGAGTAATGATGGTGAGCACCTTTTCATATGTTTATCAGCCATTTGGATATCCTCTTTTGTAAATTACCTGTTCAAATCTTTTTTTCTGGTTTTTCTATTGGATTATCCATCTATGTTTATCTTATTATTTGTAGGAGTTCTTTATAGTTTCCTTAGTATAAAAGTCCTTTGCTATATATAGGTATTGCAAATATCTCAGAAAAGGCCTTTTGAAATGATTAAAGAATAGCTTTCCTCTGAATAATATTCCCTTTATTTTAAAAGTATTATCACTTTAATTTTTATCCAACCAATTGAATAGAAGCATGCAATTACAAGGATCATGTCATTTGAGGATGTGGCTGTGCATTTCACCCAGGAGCAGTGAAACTGACTGGATTCTTCTCAGAGAACCCTGTGATGCTAGAGAACTATAGAGAGATATAAAGATGTGATGCTACAGAACTATAGCCATCTGGCCTCTGGGGGTGAGGATGGCTTCCCTGAGCAATGCATGGTACATCCAGTAGAATAACTTTCCATCTCCGATGTGCTTCAATATTTTGACCTCAGGTTCTAGGAATTAAAGATTCTTAATTCCTTCCAGACTGGACAAGGTGTTTGTATTTTCATCTCCCACGTGAAATTTACCCTCATGAATATGTACCTTCCTAACTTTTTAAGGTCCCAAAGCCCACACAGACATGCTCAAACCTTGTATCATTTTCCATTACAGGGTATCCTGTGACCAAACCAGATGTGATTGCCTCTTTGGAGGAGGAAGGATGTTGGATCACAGAGACAGAAGTCCTAAGTTTGAGTTGTACAGATAAGAAGGAAATGAGCAGGCCAGGCACAGTGGCTCATGTCTATAATCCCAGCACTTCGGAAAGCTGGGGTGGGTGGATCACTTGAGGTCAGGAGTTTGAGACCATCCTGGCCGACATGGTGAAACCCTGTCTCTACTAAAATTGCAAAAATTAGCCAGGTGTGGTGGCCACACCTGTAGTCCCAGCTTCTTGGGAGGCGGAGGCACGAGAATCACTTGAACCTGGGAGGCAGAGGTTGCAGTGAACCGAGATCACACCTCTGCACTCCAGCCTGGGTGACAGAGACCCTGTGTAAAAAAAAAAAAAAAAAAAAAAAAAGAGAAAGAAATAAATGAGCAGATGGGATGTGATGAGAAGGAAACTGCAGTGGGTCAGTGAGGGCTGGACATCTTTGAAAGCTCAGAAATATCTTCTTAAAGGATATGAACTTTTGTTGCTAACTGTAAATTGTTAGTTTTGTGAACTATTGTCTCACGGTGATGTTGGAGTGAGACGGTGAAGAGCTAGCCTCACCATAATCTGGCCTCGTCCTTCTGCTTATTCTTGGTCACCTCAATTGTTTCCAGCTTTCCTAAAAGACTCTTTGCATTCTAGTTGAGTCCTTCTCCCCCCAAATCCTGGATCTGCTACCCTTCTAATCTCCCTTTCCCCTGCTCATGGCTCCCTAAAACTGTTTTTACCTTCTAGCCCCATTTTATTTTTATGTGTGTATGTACTTTTGAGACACAGTTTCACTCTGTCACCCAGGCTGAAGTGCAGAGGCATAATCTCAGGTGACTGCAACCTCTGCCTCCTAAGTTAAAGTGATTCTCATGCCTCAGCCTCTCGAGTAGCTGGGATTACAGGTACATGCTACCACGCCTGGCTGATTGGTTTTTTGTATTATTAGTAGAGACAGTTTTGTCATGTTGGCCAGGCTGGTCTTGAACTCCTGACTTCAAATAATCCACCCACCTTGGCCTCCCAGAGTGCTTGGATTAGAGGCATGAGCCACTGTGCCCAGCCTCTCTCCAATTTTAAAGTATTTTTCTTTCTTTCTTTCTTTTTTTTTGAGATTGAGTTTTGCTCTTGTTGCCCAGGCTTGAGTGCATGATCTCAGCTCACTGCAACCTCTGCCTCCTGGGTTCCTCCCGAGAGGCTGGAATTACAGGCATGTGCCACAACGCCCAGCTAATTTTGTATTTTTAGTAGAGATGGGCTTTCTCCATATTTGTCAGGCTGGTCTTTAACTCCTGACCTCAGGTGATCAGCCTGTCTTGGCTTCCCAAAATGCTGGGATTACAGGCATGAGACACTGCACCCGGCCTAAAGAATTTTTCTTAAACAATCAAAGTCACTTATATTTATTTTACTTTCCCATTCCAATTTCTATAAGAGCAACTTATAGAAATGTACATGGAATTTCTTTCATACTGGTATGTAAACTTGAAAGAAACCTCAATCACACCAGAAGCCTGCTTCTGACAAAGCTGTATTCACAGGGCAGAGTGTGGTTTATTATTCTTCTTTCTAAAAGTCTGGCAAGCTGATAACCAGCTAGAGAGGCGCCTTTTGAGGCCTTGAAGACATAAATCCTGTCAGTTGGAAGGCAAACCTCACCATACATCTAGGCACAGGTATTAAGGGAAACCCAATTAAATTAATCAAATAAGCATAGTCCTTGAAATGATACATGGAAAATATGTCTCCAGATTTAATACCAAACTCTCATAGAAAAATTAACAAAATCTACTATTATTAAGAATCTCTATTTTGTCATAATGGAGACTAAGTGCCATACAGGAACAAAAGGGTTTATCAAATGATAGGAAGTTACAGATTTAAAGATAGCCACTAGAGGAATAATAATTAAAAATATATTTTAGGCTGAGTGTGGTGGCTCACACCTGTAATCACAGCACTTTGGGAGGCTGAGGTGGGTGGATTGCCTGAGGCCAGGAGTTCAAAACTAGCCTGCCCAGCATGGTAAAACTATGATATATACATGGTAAAACTACTAAACATACAAAAATTAGCTGGGTGTGGCAGTGGGTGCCTGTAATCTCAGCTACTCAGGAGGCTGAGGCAGGAGAATTGGTTGAACCCGGGAGGTGGAGGTTGCAGTGAGCCATTGCACTCCAGCCTGGGTGAAAGAGCGAGACTCTCTCAAAAAACAAAACAAAACAAAAGAAAAAAAAAAACAATAAGAGATCAGTACCCAAAATGCTGGCACCCTTATGGACCCACAGGGAGATGTGAGATTTGATTACCTAGGCTGGATGGGGCTGAAGGTAGATGAAATCCAGCTGGCAGTAAGGAAGGGGGCTCCAGCATTCCTTGGCATGCGGTGGCAGCCAGCTGTTTTCATGATCATCTGTGATTATCTTGGTTGAAATGAACACTTGAAGGCCTCAGGTACTTGAGTAACCACCTCAACCGAAGAGTACAAAGAACATGAGGGACTGCTTCCTAATGGGAGTGGCTGCTTCCAAAGGTGCTGGCCATTGCAAAGAATGGCAAGTTCAAATTCCTAAATTCTGGGCTCAAGACACAAACTGAAACTCAGGCATTCTGTAAGAAGAAATTATTACCGTGTGTGTCCATTGAATGTTTAGCCTACATTCCTACTCTGTCACTTGAAACTTCAGACTTTGATCATGAAAAAGGGTGTGGGGACTGGGAGAATGGTGTTAATGTGGGAGAATGTGGGAAAAATGTACCTTTAACTCCTAATTCCCACTGAGCTTCCTGTGTAAGCACAATCCTATTGGATTCATTGTCCCTGAAGAGACTACGTCTGTCTTAAATAAAGACCCTGTAGTGACCTGAACTGAGAGTGATTCTTTTTAAGGGAAGCCAATTTTCATCTCTCCCTTCCCACTCCTCTATCCCCAAACCTATAACTGTCTTATGTACCAAGCACTTTATACATTTTGCAAATATTAATTCGTTTAATCCTTCCAATAACCCCATCAAGTAGTTACTATCATTATCATCCTTATTTAACACATGAAGAAACTGACGCACAGAGAAATTCAGTATCTCTTCCAAGGCAACAGTGGTAGAGATGGTTTTTGAACCCAGGAGAACATATGCTCTTGATTCACCACACTGTCATTCCTTCCTGCCCCACCCTGAGTGATCTGGTATTTCTTAATTAGAGCTTTGAATGTATGGAGGAAGTGATGGAATGAGGGTACCTCCAGGCATTGAATAAATGAAGAGAGTCAGGCATCAGTGTATCTTTTGCATTGTTTATAGATACTATCCTTTATTAAATGTTCAAGAGAAAGGAATGAAAAGGAAATAAAACCTGTCTCTTCGAACCTGAGTCATGGATAATTTTTTGGGTCAGTTTTCACTTGCATAGCACACCCCTTGAGCCATTGAGATAAATCATGGCCAGAACAGTGCCGCCTCCAAGAAGTCCTGGGAAATGAAAGAAAAGAGAGAGGATGAAGTGGACAGGTTGATGGGGTGGCAGTGACACCATCCCGGGCTGCCCATGGTCCAGGCCATCCCCATGAACTTACCAGGCAGACAGCCCGTTCTGTGAGGACACGATCTTCTTGGCACACATGATGTCATCTAGGATATGGCGATTGAGCAGGTCTAAAGGGGAAGAGAAGGACATGGTGATCTGGTGCATTGGGGATAGGGTAACAGTGAATGGAGGGCCCAGGGGTTTTGGGTTCCTTGGGGCCTGAAGAACCTCAACCACAATGTTGGCTGATTCCAGGTGACATAGATTCTCTTGTCAGCTGGTTGTGAATGATCTCAGTCACCATGTTAGCTGGTTCTATACAACCTTAACTCATGTTGTTTGATCCTGGATGATCTTGTCATGTTGTCTAGTCATGAATAGCCCCAACCTCCATGCTATCTGGCCCTGGACAACCCCAACCTCTATTTGAGCTGGCCCTAAATAACCTCAGTCTCCATTTTTTCCTGTCTTGGACAAGCTCAGCCACCATTTTGGCATGAAGGTGATTCTGTCTCTAGAACCACACATCTGCTTCTTCTCTCAGGGCATGGGTAACCTCAACCCCAAATTAGGACAGTCTCTGTCTCTAGTCCACATGGAGGTAAGTTTCCTCTTTCCTGAGTCTAAGAAAACTGCAGGGTCCACTCTGTGTGAGAATTGGGAGCTCTGAGCTCTTCTGTCTTAAACAACCCCTCAGTATAGTCTGGGTAGGGATACAGGATGGTGTCTCTAACAGCTTAGGTAACTTTTCTCCTTTTCTCATCATTTTTCTCTTGTTGCAGGAGATTATGGCTTAAACAACCTTGTCCTCCATGTGTGGGAGAGTAGGGCCCGGCAGGGCTTCAGTGTGTCCCCAGTGCTGACTTACCATGACAATCCATGTGGCAGAGGTTCTTGGTGGGTGTAATGCCATTGTCACACCACCAGGCAGAATTCAGTTGGAAAATGCCATATTCACTGCTGCCATCAGGATTGTGGTCCACGAAGGTGGTGTCAAAACCACTCTCATGGTGAGCCATGCACAGCCCTGGAGCAGGGAGAAGAGAGGCAAGAAATAGGTATAGAGCCTGGGAATAGGGAAGGATAGGATCAGGGGAGGACAGGGATGGTTATCATCTCAGTTGTGAGGGTGGTGATCTTTGCTGTGGTGATGTTGGTGATTCTGGTGAGGGATCACGGATGGCGGTAGTGATGGTATTCACGGTGGTAACAGCAGTGATGATACTGATTGTAGTGATCATGTTGACGGCAGAGATGGAGGTGATGGTTGCGAAGGCAATAATGGTGGAGACATTAGAGTTAGTTAAACTACTCAGCACAGTCAGTGAGTGAGTGACTGAAGGGATCATGCCCTGACCTGGAGAGGTGATAAAGGACAAGGGGGGGCCTGGGTATGAATGTGGTGAGTGGCTTAGGGTATGGGCAGGATTTGGGGCAACTGGATTCTCACAGTCTCCAACACTGTAGCCTTTGTAGCCGTTCAGCCCTGCCCTCTCCAGTCTTGCAGCCAGCTCGCAGCGTTCATAAATCTTGGCATCCACAGTGACAACCATCAGTATGGCCAAGGTCACTACCACAGTGCCCCAGGCCTGCATTATGGCCCCTGTAAGCCCTCCCAGGTGACTCGCTCCAGACTCACCCTGTGGTGTTCGGAATTAGGGGTGATCTGGAATTCTGGGCTCTATGAGCAAATGTCTAAGTCGTAGATTCTGGAACACGGAACACAGAAACCTAAATGCCTCGCAACACTGTTGCGCTGGAAATTAAAGGCCCCACCTCCCACCCCTGTTGCATTGGGGATGAAGTCTCTGACATCTGAACTTTGGAAGGGACACATTCAAACCATAGCACTCATCCTTGGTAGTTTGTTCACCTCTCTGCACTTAAAGTGCTGTTCCATCCTAATTTACTGGGATGTGCCCCACATTTCATATTACAAATGGCATATTACATACAGATTCTTATGCTTGACTGCTTTTTCGACTTCATTCTCATTCTGTCTTTTGTTCCCGCATTCACTTACACTGCCTCTCAGCCACTTATATTCACCCACACCGGGCCTCATATTATCGCAATTCCCCATCTACTTAGCATTACCCAAATTCTCTCATGTCATATTCCTTCTTCATCCTACTCACTCTCGCTCAGATTCATTTCCTATCTTCACCTCTATTTCCTGGCTCTGCATCAAATGACTGCCGCTTATTCACATCTGGCCCAGCCTTCAGCTTCGTTCATTGACTTGGGGCCTTGTTAACTCCCCGATTCTCTCCCTTTCTGCCCCTCCTTCACCTCTATTCTCTCAGATGCTGTCCCTGGAACACCCCTATTTCCTGGATCTCTGTCCCTATTACTCCCAAACACTAGCTCAAGTTACCCACATATACTTAGTCTATGTTTGGTCACTGTTTTTTCTGAGTTTTCTCTTCATTGTCTCCATTTACTCTCACTCTGCCTCTCACTGCCTCATTCGTTTAAATCCTTTCCCATTGTAACCCCTATCACCCTCTTCTTGCTCATATTCTGCTCCTAATTCAGGCCTGCCATTCTGCCTCCCCGTACTTGCATTCTGTCACACTATGCCTCAAATTCGTTACTTTTGCTCACATCGGGCTCCCCGTGTTTCCTCGCTTTACTCACCCGAGGCCATGTTGTCTTCATCCACTCTCTGCCTCACAATACCCACCTTCAGCCATCCTCTGCTCTTCACTTTCATTCCCTCTCACTCTGCCCAACATCGCCTCCATTCATGCGCACTCTTCAGCTCATTCACATTTGCCGATTCCCAGTGGGATCCCTGTACCCCAACGTTCCTGGGCAGACTACCCTGTATTACCCCCATCTAATCCCAGTCATCTCTAGTCACCCTCCCTTATAGCATCTGCACTCAAACTCGGCCTGCTTCACATTCTACCACATATTCATCTCCACTCTTTTATGCTGTCCCTCCTGCACCCCATTCTTCTCTTTCTGTCCCACATTACCCCCATTCACTCTGACTGTACCCCTAAATTCCCTCTTCATTCATCTTGTGCCTCATAAAATCACCATTCCTTCACATGCTAATCCTTAGTATTCATATCACCTCCACTCACATTCACCCTCTTTAGTTGTTCTATTCATGCAGAGTCTGCTCCCACTTTCACCTTTTTTTCTGCTTAGATTGTGGCTCATTTCCAATCATTTACTTAATCTCATCATAATCTCAAATTCATTCATAATTGAATGCATAGTCATTCCCTCACTTTGATCCACATTCACTCCACAATGGTGCTCATTCACCTCCATTCCATTGCCCTTTGCTTCTGTTTGCCCTCATTTGCTCCCAATTTGCCTGTCAGTCACTGTTATTCATGCCCCTTGCCCACCAGTCCCATGTGTCTCCTGTTCGTGACACTCACATTGGCCAACACAGAAGGCTGATGGATTGCTCAGGATTTGATTTGGCTGCACACACCAACCCCACCACAAATACCAGTAGCTTCAAGAGGAGGGAAGTGGATTCCTCTTTTGGAGGCAGGTAATCCAGGACTAGTGTGGTGGCTCCAAGGTCACCAAAGACCTGGCTCCTTCTGTGCTGTTGCTCTGTCAACTTCACCGTCTGGGTCTGGTCCAAAATGACTGCTCACAATTGGCAAGACTTTTGTGGTCTTGATAAAATGTATCTTAAGATCAATTGTAATGATAACTCACTAGCCACATGGGGGCTTCTCTCATTGTCTTTGGGTGACAGTGTCATATCGTGCAGATTCTGTGGTGGGACCAGCCACCTGTCAGCTTCTCACACTCCTTCACCTAGCCACCTGCTGCTTAGGCTACTGTATGAGGAGGTCCGACCTGTAGGGACTGATGGTAGAGGATGTCCAGGACAGAGAGTGCCGGTCCTGGCTCTGCAGCAGCAAAGCTAGCCTCATAACTTGTGCATGCACACTGTGGGCCCTGGGATAGTTTCTGAGGGGCTGTATCACTGGCTCATCTGCCCCCCAATCCTACCAACCCTAAAGGATTTCCTCCTTTGTGTAGGTGCGTGCGTACAAGGTGGTTGGAGATGATGCTTAGGGGTGAGACTGTGATGGGCCGTAAAGGTCCAGCCCTTGCTATTTTCTACCTCCTAATGCATTGAGAGAGTGGATAAGTCATATATCCAGGAGGTGCTGATGCATCAGGGAGCAAGAGATGTGAGTTCCTTTCTTGCTTTCTTTCTTTGTCTTGTCTGCTAGGAAGCTTTCCTTTTTTTTTTTTTTTTTTGAGATGCAGTCTTACTGGGTCGCCCAGATTAGAGTGAAGTGGTGTGATCTCGGCTCACTGCAAACTCCACCTCCTGAGTTCAAGCGATTCTTGTCCCTCAGCTTCCTGAGTAGCTGTGATCACAGATGCATGCTACCATGCCCGGCTAATCTTTGGTATTTTTAGTAGAGACGGCGTTTCACCATGTTGGCTAGGCTGGTCTTGAACTCCTGACCTTAGGTGATCCGCCTATCTCGGCCTTCCAAAGTGCTGGGATTACAGGCGTGCGCCACTGCACCCAGCTCAATATATGTGTATTTTTAACGTTAGTATATAATGCTAGATTTCTTCAGACTGGTCTTTACAAATCGGATCCTTCTTATGGTTTCCCCTTATGTCCAAAATGAAATATGAGCTCCCTGGCCAAGGAGGTCCTAAAACACCTGGCCCCTGCCTACACCCACTATACTCCCAACACACTGACGCCGTCTACTCCAGAAAAAGCAAACTGTTAGCCATCACTTAATGCACCCCTTCACCCCTGGTGTGTGCGTCTCACATCGCAGTTTATTTTTCAGCTTGTTTGTGTGCATACCCATCTACCGTCCTTCAAACGCTACAACGTAAACTCCCAGTCCTGGCCACTGGATAAAGCCAGTGGCTTTTCGCTACCTCCTACTCTGTGCACGCAGAGCAATTTAGCCACGCACCCTGTCTTCCCGTTCATTTACACCTGCAACCCTGTTGCTGCCCTGCAAGTTCAAAGTGAGAAATTGCCACCTGCTAGAATCTTTTCCTTAGTTGGTCACTTATCCTCCCTGCCCTGCCATAAGAAAATCGGTGTCCGAAGTCTTAGGAAGGCTGGCCTCTGCAGAACTAAGTAAACACTTGCTCAGCGACGTCGTCCCAGAAGCCAAAAGACACGGTGAACTCGGCCATCTCGCTTCAAGCAGTGACGTCACCAGCACAGCTACCTTCCCTCTGCGCCTGCGCCGCGGCCCCATGTTGACTATTGGCGGATGAGCGTCTCAAAGGCTCCACTGAGCGTGCGCAGAACCGACCGCTGCAGCCCTTTAGGCTGCGGTGCCAAAGAGTCGGTCCCGAAGCGGAAGTGCTTCTTGGGGCCAGGTTTTGTAGCGGTCTTCTCCTCAGCGAGCAGAAAATCTGTTGTCGAAAGAGTGAGGTTGAGGGGGCAAGTGCTAGGGGTCGTGGGCTGAGTGATGGGGAGTTCTGCGAGATGAGTGAAGTGGGGGTTGGGGGTTGAGTGATGGGGGACCGAGAGGTCAGTGGACGAGGTTCTAGGGGCTTGCTGGTGAACAAAGTTATGGGGGCTAAGCAGGATTGAATGGGGCTTATTAAACTTTGACTTTTACACATTTTCCAGCACAGTGACCTGCGCTAAGGGTTCATGCGCATCCCTCAGGACCCTCTTTAGACGTGCCCCGCTCCTCCCTCTACCCTCTCTCCTTGCCCAAGCCCCGAGGTGGGGGTCTGGTGTGAATGCTCCGGCCGAAGTGAACCTGCACCCGAAGGTCTTTTTCCGGCTCCTGGGCAAGGCGGCCCCGGTGAGGTGAGCAGAAGGAAGAAGAGGCACCTGCAAGGTCTCACCTGACCCTGGGCCTCGCCCAGATTTGGGGGCCTGGGAAGAGGGGTAGGTGCGGGGTCTGAGGGAGATGGGGCTTAAATGTAATTGGAGTAATAGTTTTAGAGTGTAGTTTTTGGCATTTAACAAATAACATTTGAATTATAGATTAATTCAGAAATAGAAGAAAAGAAAATCAAAAGGAACTAATTCCTCCCCGTTCATTGTTAGACATTTTTGGGGTGTATAGGAGTATCCCTTTTAAACATTTAACATATAGCTTTAAAATGGATTCCCGCAGTTTTATAACCTACTTTGTTTTCATTTAGAAGTTTAATTCAGGATAAAATTTTTTTTGTACACCTTTAAAAAATGATTAGTTGAGATACATATCACAAAATGCATAGATACTATGCAGCTCCACATAACGTTTTTAACAGCTTTGTAGCATTTTATCTTTTATATTTCGTTCTTAATCCATTATGGGTATTAGAGGATCGTTTTAGTTTGGCATTATTAAAACCAATGCCGAAACGTGGGTATGTACAGAGAAATTATGATACATGATGATAAATTATTTCCTTAAGGAAAATACCTAGAAATACAATTTCTGGGTCAGTACACAATTTAATACATGTGTATATAAAACCTTTTGTGTTCAAGGTTCACATGAAGAGTGAAGAATACACAGACTGTTAAAACCACATGGTTGCCCAAACTCTTCCACAGAGCGATTTCATGGCCAGCTGATGTGAGGGGATAGCTAGGCAGCTAATTCTGGGCACTGAAAGTCTGATGGGGTATTTTCATATGCTCTGCTCTTCTCCACTTGTTCCAGCTCAGCCATCACATATCTCTGCTTTTTCCCAAGAAGAGCAGGAAATGGCCAAACCCCAGGTAAGTATGTTGTCTGTTTTTTCATCCCTCTATTTTACTGTGGGTGTGATGAAATATGTGGAAATCCCTGCCACAAAATAGGAAAGTATTTGTAAATAAGGATTAGGATCAGGCAAAATAAGAGATAGCAGATCAAGGCCAAGTTAGAATGTAGAAGCGTACAGGACTTAGGGCGTAACAGATATTAATGTTGGGCTGTCAGTTTCTCTTTGAGCCTTCTGGTAGCCAGAGGGAAACATAACCAGTACCTTGGCTCAGCTTACTCATCAGGAGAGAGCACACTGAGCCTTCAGGGCAAGTCAAGATTGCCTGGAATTGTGTTTAAAGGGATTTCTTTGCTGGGTTTTCATGTGGATAGTGGAATTGTCCTCAACTACAGCCTGGTGATAAATGCTTCCCTGCAGATATGTCCTACAGCTTTCTTCAGTGAGCGGGAGACATCATGTCAAAATGTAACTTGGGAATGAAATCTCTTAGGAAACCTGCTTGTCTTTCCAATGATTTTCCTGAAGTAGTTTTCTTAGTTGGACTTTGAATTCTCTTTTGCCCAAGCGACAAACATTTTTCACATACCTGCAGTAGCCCACCATCTTTTCCTTTCACTTTAAGCATTTGTATTTTTTAATTTGACATACAGTGTAATTGATTTTTCTGTTAGATTGGTATAACTAATCTATAGAATAGATGGCGTTTCATCACCCCAAAAAACTCCTTTATGCTACTTCTGTTAATAGTCATATCCTCCCCAACCTGTAACCTCAGGCAGCGACAGGTCTGTTCTGTGTCACTATAGTTTTGTCTTTTCAAGAATGTCATGTAAGTGGGGTGTCATGTGTTATGTAACCTTTTCTTTTTGAGATGATTGATTTACATGCAATTGAAACAATAATACAGAGAAATCCCGTGTACTCTTTTCCTAGATTCCCCCAATGATAACATCCTGCAAAACCATAGTACAATATCAAAATCAGGATATTGACATTGATACGGTCAAGCACAGAATAGCCCCATCATTGCAAGGATCCATCAAGTTGTCCTTTATAGCCACAGCCACTGCCCTTCCTCCCCCATACTCATTCCTAAACTCTTGGCAGCTACAAATCTGTTCTCCATTTTGGGAATTTTGTCATTTCAAGAATATGATATAAATGGATCATACGATATGTGACCTTTTCAGGTTGTTTCTTTTGTTTGTTTCCACTCAGCATAATTCCCTGGAGATTTATCCAAGCTGTGTGTGTCAGTAGTTGTTTCTTTGTTATTGCTGAATAGTAGTCCATGGTATAAATGTACCACAGTGTATCTATCCATTCACCTGTTGAAAGACATATTTGGGGTATTTCCAGTTTTGCGCAGTTATGAGTAGAGCTACTTTAAACAATCATGCACAGGGTTTTGTGTGAACATTGGTTTTCATTTCTGTGGAGTAAATAATGGATTACTGGGTCATATGGTAAGGGTATGTTTAACTTTTTAGGAATCTGCCAAATTATTTTCTAGCGTGGTTGAACCGTTTTCATTTCTCCCAGCAATGTATGAGTTCCAGTTGTTCCATATTTTTGTCAGTACTTTGTATTGTCAGTATTTTTTATTTAGTCATTTATCTCATAATGATTTTAATTTGCATTTCCTTAATTGTTAAAGATGTTAAGCATCATTATATATGCTTATTTACTTTTTGTCTGTCCTCCTGATGAGTGTCTATTCAAAAGTTTCTGCCCATTTTTCAATTGGATTTTCTTATTGTTGAGTTTTCAGAGTTCTTTATATATCTTTAGTCAGATATATGGTTTGTAAATGTTTTCTCCAAGTGTATTGTTTGTCCTTTTCTTCTCATAATGTTGTTTGCAGAGCAAGAATTTTTAATTTGGAAAATTTCCAATTTATGAATCATTTATTTGTGGATCATGCCCTTGGTGTCATGTCTATGAACTTTGCCTAACCCAAGGTCATGAAGATTTTCTCCTATTCTATAATTTTATAGTTTTAGATTTTACATTTAGATGATTCCTTTTACATTATTATTATTATTATTTTTTGAGATGGAGTCTCTCTCTGTTGCCCGGGCTAGAGTGCAGTAGGGTGATCTCAGCTCACTGCAACCTCCACCTCCCTGGTTCAAGTGATTCTCCCACTTTAGTTTCCTGAATAGCTGGGATTACAAGCATGCCCCACCACACCTGGCTAATTTTTATATTCTTAGTAGAGACGGGGTTTCACCGTGTTGGCCAGGCTGGTCTCAAACTCCTGATCTCAGGTGATCCACCTGCCTTGGCTTCCCAAAGTTCTGGGATTACAGGCGTGAGCCACCGCTCCCAGCCCTTTTGCATTAATTTTTGCGTAAGGTATGAGGATTAGGTCAGGGTTCATTGTTTTGCCTGTGAATGTTCTTTTTTTTTTTTGCGACGGAGTTTCGCTCTTGTTACCCAGTTTGGAGTGTAATGGCGCGATCTTGGCTCACCGAAACCTCCGCCTCCTGGGTTCAGGCGATTCTCCTGCCTCGGCCTCCTGGGTAGCTGGGATTACAGGCACGTACCACCATGCCCAGCTAATTTTTTGTATTTTTAGTAGAGATGGGGTTTCACCATGTTGACCAGGATGGTCTTGATCTCTTGACCTCGTGATCCACCCGCCTCGGCCTCCCAAAGTGCTGGGTGCCTGTGAATTTTCAATTGCTCTAACCCCAATTGTTGAGGAGGCTTTCTTTTTTTTTCTTTTATTATTTTATTATTTAAGTTTTTTAATTTTTTTGAGACGGAGTCTCGTTCTGTCGCAGGCTGGAGTGCAGTGGTGGGATCTCAGCTCACTGCAACCTCCACCTCCCAGGTTCAAGCAATTCCCCTGCCTTAGCCTCCTGAGTAGCTGAGACTACAGGTGTGTGCCACCATGCCTGGCTTATTTTTGTATTTTTAGTAGAAATGGGGTTTCGCCATATTGGCCAGACTGGTCTTGAACTCCTTACCTCAGGTGATCTGCCTGTCTTGGCCTCCCAAAGTGCTGGGATTACAGCTGTGAGCCACTGTGCCTGGCCTTGTTATTTTAAATTGACACATACTAATTATACATATTTATGGGGTACCCTGGGATGTTTTGATAAATGTCTACAATGTGTAATTATCAAATCAAGATAATTAGTATCATTTATTATTTCTTTGTATTGAGAACATTCAAAATCTTTTCTAGCTATTTCAAAATATACACTAAATTGCTGTTAATTATGGTTACCCTGTGGTGCTGTAGAATGCTAGAACTTAATCTTCCTATCCAGCTGTACTTCTGTATCTGTTAACCAATCATTGGCTACCCACCCCCCAACCCTTCGCTGCCTCTAGTAACCACTGTTCTACTCTCTACTTCTATGAGAACAACTTTTTAAGCTCCTGCATGTGAGTGAGCACATAATGTCCCCCAGGTTCATCCATTGTTACAAATGGCAGAATTTCCTTCTTCTTCTTCTTTTTCTTTTTTTTGAGACTGAGTCTTATTTGTCACCCAGGCTGCTCGGCTCACTGCCACTTCTACCTCCCAGGTTCAAGGTTCTCCTACCTCAGTCTCCCAGGTAGCTGGGATTATAGGCACCCTCCACCACACCCAGCTAATTTTTGTATTTTTAGTGGAGACAGGGTTTCACCATATTGTTCAGAAGAATAATGTTTAATTTTCAAGTTCCTAGAGATTTTTCTGTTATCTTTCTATATTATAAAAAATTCGTTATGATCTGTAGTCTCAGCTGCTCGGGAGGCTGAGGCAGGAGAATCACTTGAACCTGGGAGGCGGAAGTTGCAGTGAGCTGACATCACACCACTGTGCTCCAGCCTGGGCAACAGAGTGAGACTCTGTCTCCAAAAAAAAAGAAAAGAAAAGAAAAGAATGTATGTTCTGTTGTTTTATGGTGGAGTGTTTTGTATATCTTAATTGCATACAGTTGGTTGATGGTGTTTACTTCTATATTCTTGCTGATTTTCTGTCTACTGGTTTTATGAGTTACTGAGAAAGGAAGTATTCAGTTATTGCAGATTTGCCTATTTTTCCTGTCAATTTTATCAGTTTTCCTTCATATATTTTGAAGCTCTGTTGTTAGAGGCATACACTTTTAGGAGTGTTGTATCTTTCTGGTGAATTAATGTTTTTTTTTTGTTTTGAGATGGAGTCTTGCTCTGTCACCCAGGCTAGAGTGTAGTGGTGCAATCTTGCTCACTGCAACCTCTGCTTCACGGATTCAAGTGATTCTCCTGCCTCAGCCTTCCAAGTAGCTGGGATTACAGGTGCCTGCCACCACGCCCAGCTAATTTTTGTATTTTAGTAGAGACAGGGGTTCGCCATGTTGACCAGGCTGGTCTCGAACTCCTAGCCTCAAGTGATCTGCCCGCCTTGGCTTCCCAAAGTGCTGGGATTACAGGCATGAGCCCCACTGTGCCCACCTGGTGAATTTTTGTATCCTTATGTCATTAATCATCCTGGATGAGTTTTGGCTCTGAGGTCTACTTTGGCTGTTCTTAAATACGGTCACTCCAGTTTTCCTTTCTTTGGCATTTCAGTGGTATACTTTTTTCCATTCTTACTTTTATCCTACCTGTATTATTATATTTAAAGTTTTTTTTTGCCAGATTCTCCCTCTGTCACCCAGGCTGGAGTACAGTAGCATGATCTTGGCTCACTGCAGCCTTGACCTCCTGGGCTCAAGTGATCCTCCCACCTCAGCCTCCCAAGTAGCTGTGATCACAGGTGTACACCACCACAACCGGCTCATTTTTTGTAGAGATGGGGTTTTGCCATGTCTCTCAGGCAGTTCTCAAACTCCTGAGGTCAGGTGGTCTGCCTACCTTGATATCCCAAGTGCTGGGATTATAGGCATGAGCCACCTCGCCTGGCCAGTTTATTCTTTTAGACAGCACATAGCTGGGTATATTAGTCTGTTTGGGCTGCCATAACAAAGTACCACAGATTGGGTGGGTTAAACAACATTAATTTTCTCATAGTTCCAGAAGCTGGGAAGTCCC